TTAAGGGCTGCTTGGCTCTCCGTGATTTGAGATCAAATCTAGGCATAGTCACATTTTACCAATCTAAATTCACAAATTGGTGCCTTCCATGCTAGATCGGGTTTTGGTCTTGTTATCTTATCTTCAAACTTCTTTTCCATTGTGTTATCATTTCAATGTTGAGAAAAGCTAAAAACCACATATCTCTGCAACATCACTTTTTTTTTCTTCCTTGCGCCATTTCGAATTCTTTTTCCTGGTGACAACCAGATACGTTCCAGAAATGCCAATGTGTAAGTTCTAAGAAAATCCACTCTCAATTAGATCTGTCGCTCCTCTCTTCCTCCTGCTCCCTCCCGCTTATCTACGACGAATCATACCTCGGAGACCGAACGGAATGGGAAAAACAAAATGAGCAGAGTTAACAAAGATCTCGGGCTTGGTAGAAAATACAAATGAAAGCTTCTTGGAGACCTCTACACTACCTATGGAGAGGTGGACGTAATTGGGTCGCACGCGCAAGACAAGCTACAAATGAAGAAAATTGTTCCCAATCCCCCCGAGGCCCCAAGGATCCCACCATAGCAAGAACGAACCTGGGAATAACATAAACAGCTCGGCACTCTTAATCGAATGATGAACTCAAGTCCGTTGGCTCCGGGTAGAGAAGGTGCCTATTAGCCCTGTTTTTTTGTGCAGTATCATACCTATGATCATAGATTATCTTGGGACCAGTTCTGGCTAATCCAAGGTTCCGTGCGCCTTACTGTAGATATCTACCGTACGTTAGGGCCACGAATTGGGGGAGAGAGATTATATGCTGGGTTTTTGCTTCGCCCCCCCCCCCGCTCTGCAATGCGGATTCAGTGAGGTGAATAGCAGAATCCGGGTCGAGGCTATACAGGGGGGTGATATGGGAGGGCGGTGTGTTCTCATCCTGAATCTCTTATGATTCGCTATCAGATTGTGAGCGGGTGTCGCCGGATCAGCCCACGATAAGTTTAGCCTAACAGGTTAACAGGATTGAGAATGCCAGCTAATGAGACCCAGCAGGTCCAAAGGGCACAAGCCATGCCATGCAAGGAAAGCACTAAGCCCCCTCACGAGCTAAATCCGGAACTTTGAGGCCTGCGGGAGATACCGAATCACAAGAGATTATACATTGCAAAGGTGCATCAAGCCAGAGTCCTGAGGGATTAAAGGTTTGTGACTCGTGAAGGATGTACTCAAGTCGCCGGATCGAAGATGCACTTTTTTTGGTGCGTCACTACCAGAAAAAACATCTCCAATCCGGCGACTTGAGTATGTTCAGCAATGGTGACAAGTAGTGACCACTCTTTGTGCGCCGTAGTGCCAACTTGCAGATACAACGGGATTGTTCAAAACAAGTACCGGAAATCCCATTCCGAGGAGAAGATGCTAAAACTTCACTTGAGGAAGGACAGCTCTTTACATCGTATCGTTCAGATAAAGTGCTCAATACTCTCCAAATTCAGTTTAAAATTGACTCTGTCCACAACCCTTGACCTTTCGAGGTCTTCACAAAATCACACCTGGAGAAGTGCTATTCTAGAATCTGTGAATCTGAAACACCTCCTTTCTTGGCAGTGCACTGTGCGTTTATGGGGAGTTTCGTAGGATTATCCTTTGTACACTTACAAGTATTACAGTGGATTTCTCCCAGCACGGAAGTGTGCAGAGGAATGGGGACTGCGTAGAATCATAAAGATATGTAAGGCGATCTGTGGGAGGATTAGGATGATATATAATGTCTTACACATGCTACTATCTTTACCCTTAGTTTAGCCCCACGAGCTTGAAAACGAAGATTATGACTATAAATTTCTTACCTCTCATACCTAGCGTCCAAGTCCCAAACAAATCTTCCCACTCTCCCTCTGCGCTATATGCTGTTTACCTTAAGACCTGATTCCTGTTCGACCCCCCGGAGTGTACAACACTGTCTTGTATATATCGCCGTTTATTGGTACAGTACAGGTGCTTTCAGAAGAGCTTCATACACAATGCTTATTTCCTCCCTGCTTTCTCTTATCCGTCCTTTCTGGAGTTTCGGGGCCAAATTAGAGGTTTTCTAAGATAGATTAAACCTCCTTCCCACCGTCGTTCTTATGTTTCTTTATTCCTTCCCCGAAAAATAAAACCGGTTTGGATTGGCTGTGATATAAATTTAATGTGAGGAAGTTTTTCTTTCTGCGCCCCCTCCCCCCCCAAGTCTTGTGTGATCAAGCTTATGTATAGTACAAGTATTTTACTCATTCCCCAAATAGATGGAGTGAGTGACGTGTACTAGGTTTAGAGGAGGTATTTCTTAGAGACATTTCCTCAGGTACACATTTATTACTAATTACAAGCAGAAAAGAAAAACCGTACTCAGACACCAAAAACGAACAAGCAGTCAGAAAATCGACGCTCTTTAGCCCTGCTATGGTTGCCGAAGGAAGTGTATGACTTCGAGCCCAATGATAAAGCTTCAGTCTTCGTCCATAAAGTTGGGAAAATACAAGTAAATTTTGTGTGTGTGAGCAGGTGACATTGAGTAACGGAAAAACGCCTTGCGCTCACCGCACAAGCCATACTCCTAATATAATTATGAGGGGCAAATTTGCCCCAGTGAGTGGGTGATATTCAGTGACAGGGGAACCTTCTGTGTTTACAATCAGATTCTAAGCTATCATACCTCGACCCAAGAAGCATCAATAACACCCGAGGGAGTTGTGACTGCGAGTGCTGGCATCATAGCATCTCAGGCACTAATGGTCGAATAGGGCCCCCTCACCCTCACCGCCGCAATAAGGAACGCAATTTAAGAACCGCACCAACACACAACTATTGGCATCTTACAGGACATTACAGTGGAGAGATACACTACGGGGCTAAGCTTTCTTTCTCAGATCTTTAGTAGGATTAAATAGTTCCTCTCAAGGTCAACTACCTATTGGAGGTACAGAGATGGCCCCTAAGACACCATGGCATAATCTTCTATTAGGATATTCCCTGCAACTTTTTAATGGGGAATAATACTTAGTGTGACTACCAATATGGCATGGGGGGAGTCCACAGCAAGATTTTGCACCCTCGCATATCAGAGGATAACCAAACAGGACATGGACACACCCAGAAACATAGATACTGGAGAACAGCTCACATTTAGGGCATAAGTTAATTTTTAACTTTATGTTTAACTACTTCGCAAGGGACTCACAATTTTCACATCCAGGTTGCTTGCAACAATAAAGACATCAAAAATCTCAGATGTTAAAAACTCACGTTTTGTACTAGATGAACCCTTTCTCGGTCAATGTCCACCTCGCAGATATCCATACCTAGCCCACCCAGCGGCAGCAAACCGCCTAGCGGAACCCAGGAGGGTAATCATAGTACAATCCTATGCTATATATTTTTCCCCACCAAATCCAAGATTATTCCCAAGGTCGAGCTTCCGGGACCAGCGCTTAAGGAAACCTTCTATGGATAACCATTCGAAGAAGTATTGGATTCTGCGCCTCTGTGAGCACAATCATACTCGACTCACGCCTCTCCGAGTAATTGGCAATTCACTACCTCAGACAACAAGATGAGAGATCCCTAGGGTAAAAATACACTACTTTGCACATTCTAATCCTGACTTTGTAGCCCAAAAGGAGCAGCCTTCAACGATCTTGCTGGGATTAACCTCCAATCTATTGTGCCGCCGAGGGTGGGTAAGTTACGAGGAAGTCGCAATAACAACTGCTCGGACTGGAACAAGTCAATCTCAATGTGCCAAATTTTGATATCCAAACACCACTTCCCGTCCAGCCTCCTCAAGAGATATACAGCGCGACTTGGGAATGCACATATGTGTCGTGATGCCTAGCTTAATCTTCCTCGGGATTTCTCGAGTAGCCGAGTGAGGTCCCATGAGTCAATGTTTATTAGTTAGAGTTAGGTCCCTAGGAAGCAGTTGTATTGCAGCGAGAAGGTACATCTTATGGCCATAGCTTTTTATTGCATTTTGCTAATTTGGTTTTTTTTTACATATCTACAATTCCTTCTTTCCCTAAACGAAAGATACGGCGCACACAGTGTTTTCCTAAGGCATTGATAGGAAAACCTATTCGTAGGTAGGGGAAGATACCTAATTTAAGAGAGAAGGGCGTCGTAAAGAACAGCATTGGCTACGATAGTGGATCAATGGTCATGATGAATATGGCTTAACCCAATGAATATCACTAAACGCACGAGTCACGGTGATGAGGCTAAACGTCGAGTCCGTCCGTCTCCGATGTCCTAGCAGGATAGACAGGTGACTGCCAAGCCCCTTGCATGACCGGGGGGGTTCCCAAGGGCCAAAGGGCCGTGCACGTCTACCGTTACCCTTTTAGACCCCAGTCTTTCAGAAGGATGGACGTGCTTGCTTTACAGCTTGATGTACCCAGCGCAGGACACTTGTGACTGCAGCCATGCCCGCCCAACAACCACCCCCCCTCCATATGCGAGTTTGGTAGGGAGACGGAGGCCTCCTAGGCTGTCCAAGCCTCCTGTTAGCCCCACCCGTGTCATAATTGATTTGATAGAATCGGAAATACTAAAGAAACCCCCTAGAAAATGATATAGCAATCCTCCAGACGCAAAACCTTCAATAGAAACTACATTAACAACACTAAAATCGGTATAGTCAAATAGTATGTCTTGCAGTACAAAGTGTGAAAGAACCTCCATGTCCAAAGACAGCCCAGCAATAACAGACCGGTTATCAAACTATCATACACTGAAGGGCGTGTGACATACGATATTCCTGACCTATGATAATCCAGTTGGGCGTCAAGAGTATTATATTATGATGCTCGGCAATGGAGAAAAACTCGCCCATCCGAGTGACATCCAATGACCCGATATCCACGTGATTTTCCAAAAATGGTTAGCGCTAATTCCTCCCCAACGTCGCTTCACCCCAAGTCCTCCTTCTCGACGTCTCTTCACTAACACAACCATCATAACCCCATCAAACACCCTCCAAAATGTCTGCAACACCCGTCGAACGGACCCCTGCGGTTCCCGCTCCAACTGCCACCCCGGCCACCGCTCCCGCTACCACTGCGCCCCCGGGGGCGTCAGATAAGGCCGGCATGCCATACTACGAGAAGATTCGCAAGGATCTCCGAGATATGATACAGCGGAAGCGCGGACTAGACAAAACTCTCGTGAGCTCCCCCTCTGGAACCCATCTTGATTGCATACACCCGGTGACTAACGCGGTATAGGCCGTGTACGAAGAAAACATCGCGAAGTGCGAGATCACTTACCTGGAGGATACTCAGAACGGAAACATCGTCAAAGGTTTCGATAATTACATCAAGGGGACTGCCGCCAGAAGGAGGAACAATATCAGCGATATGGACCGCATTTTCTCGCATTCTTCGCTGACTTCTGCTGCGACTAAGGTTTGGTCATCACCCTGTCGAGAAGTTGTGGTCACGTGATATCTGATATATATTTGCCTCTGAAATAGCTCAGGCAGCAGGAGGATGCTACGCCTGTTACGAATAGCTCTACCCCTACGATCGCGGAAAATGCGCCGAGAATTGGAACCACGGTCAGGAACAAGAAGAAGAGGAGAAAGGGTGATGACGAGTCGGAGAGTCCGTCTGAAGTCGAGACACCTGGGCCGAAGCGCGTAAGGATTTCGTTTTCGGGACAGGGTGGGGCTTGAGTATTATCCCCCACCAATCTAATAGAAGTAGTGTGACATGAAGGGAAATATGTCTTTTCTGGGGCTGTACAACATTACCCACCTACCTTTTCTCTTTCTCCTCTCCTTCTTTCTCACTCTGGGCTGGATTGGCGTTATATTGGGGTTTTGTCGTTTGCTCCCTATTCTTCCGAGATGTGAAAAGGGGGAGCATGGATTGCGAAAGTGGTTAAATCTTGGTCGAACTTTGCCGAGTTGTACTTTTATATGCCCTTTGGTCAAATATTATTAGATGTTTGGTAGCGGAACGCACAGTTGTACATAAAGACAGCAGCACTCGAGCACAAGAAGTAGGATAGCTACCTCCGCTCATGTAAACCTATAGGATACGGTAGTAGGCCCCGGGGCTAATATTTGGTGAATATTCCGAGCGGATTGAGTGTGGCTCAAGACCTGGGAGATTATCGCGAACTATCGCTTCAGTTGAAAGGGGGACCAAGAGGGGAGAAGAGAGGGTGGGTAGAGGAATTACCAGTTTTATGCGGTTTGATAATCACAACCCATCACGTCGTTCCCCCGTGGATTCTTCCACCGGCCCAAACGTCTCGCCAAGCATCGTTTCAACACGGCTCACCCCAAAAATATCCAACACCACCCTCTTCTCCTCGCGTCGAATCTCTTCATACGAACCCCAATAAATCTTCTCTCCCAATGGCCCTGGTGAAAGGAGAATGGCACAAGTTGCCCCTAGCTCTCAGCGAGCTTTCCCTATCCTCCGTGCTTCGTTGCGGACAATCCTTCAGGTAATTTTACTATCCGTAGGCAACTACCCGCCACCATCCAGAGATTACGGGGAGAAAAGAAAGGAGACTAACAAGACGGGTCGATAGATGGAAAGCTTCCAATCCTGGCGAATGGTTATTTTTTTTTCCGTGCTCTACAATCCTATTTTATTTGTTGTCCGTTCGGGCGTTGATCTGTCTCCAGGACTTGCGCGCTGAACGGCCGAATCTTGACGCTTCGACAGGACGACTCGCATTTGCACTACCGCGCTATATTCCCAGCGACCACTACGGCTCCTCAAAACGATGATACGGTGGAGCTCATCCGCGACTACTTCAACCTAGACGTCAACCTCACAAAGCTCTACGAAAGATGGAGCGCTGCGGACGCGCACTTCCTCAAGAAGGCTGTGCGCTTCGCGGGCATACGCATGCTGCGACAGGATCCGTGGGAGAACTTGGTGAGCTTCATTTGCTCGTCCAACAATAATATCTCGAGGATTTCGCAGATGGTAGTGGCCCTTGCTTCAGCACTTTGTCTACCAATTCACGTCTTCGGCGGCTGACCGGTGATGCGATAGGTGGACAAACTATGTGCGACTTTTGGCCCCAAGCTGGGTCAAGTTGATGGACACACTTACCATGACTTCCCGTCACCAGGGGCATTAATGGGCGATGGGACAGAGCAGACGTTGAGGGAATTGGGATTTGGCTATCGGGCAAAGTATATATCTACCACTGCGAGGATAATAGCTCAAGAGCGGCTGGCGGGGTGGTTGGATGGGTTGAGGAAGGTTGGTTATAGAGATGCACACGAGGCCTTACTCGGGCTCTCAGGGGTGGGGCCGAAGGTTGCGGATTGCGTTTGCTTGATGAGTTTGGACAAGGCTGAGGCTGTGCCTGTTGATACTCATGGTTTGTCTATCACTCTATACACCCTCCGTGCGCGCGGGTTGGCTCAAAACTGATGGGGGGCGAGCTAGTCTGGCAGATCGCGCAGAGAGATTACGGCTTCGGTCGTGGGAAGCATAAGAGTTTGACTAAAGCTACTTACGAAGCTATTGGAGACCACTTCCGCAAGTTGTGGGGACAGGAAGCTGGCTGGGCACATTCGGTTAGTAATACACTTGACTTACACGTGGGAAAATGGAAAGCTCGACGTGGTGGAAGGCTGATCACGGGGGCAATTATAATAACAATAGGTACTCTTCACCGCGGATTTGAAGGCCTTTGCAGATGTCAAAGCAGAGGGGGTGAAGACTGAGGAAGCTCAGGTCGAGAAAATCACTACCAAGAGAACAGCTGGGAAGGTGAAAGCCGAAAACATCAAAGAGGAACTCGAGGACGGAGAAGGGGTAAAACTCGACCCGGCATCGGTGGACAACAAGGAAGATGGCGATAAACGAGAAACGGTGACCGAGCAGAAGGTGGTTAGAAAAGTAAAGAGGAGTCTAAAGTTGGAGGTGAGGGAGGGGGAGGATGAAAGCGTGTCTCTGGAGCTGGAATGCGTGACCACCCTCGCCGATAGGGTGAAGCGACGACGTAGGCGTTAGATGATCAACTTACTGTGTGGGCTGATCGTGGGCAAGAGTGAGACAGGCAGATTTTCCTAATTTAGGAACCGGCCAACGATCGTTTACTTGGTGATAGAGAGTCTGTTCCAATTAGAGGGGTTCATCTGTTGATGGCCAATGGACGGGTGCGATATATTCCGTATATTACTAGTTGTAAGAGGGGATGTGGTTGTGGGAATGCTATCCCGGGAAAATACCATCCCATGTATCATAATTAGCACAAGCACTGTAGAGTACAGTACACGAAAATTTGCACCATAGATATCAATTAGCATACCAGCATTTATATTGGAAAGGTTTGAGTTACTAACTTAGCAACTGCTTGGTTTGCGGTGAGGGTGAGCTGGTCACCACGCTACAGCCGTATTTGCAAAGTTCTCGTATCATACCCTTCCAAGTAATACCCGCCCTCGAAAACTCTTTGCTGACCCTCTCTCTCTCTCTCTCTCTCTCTCATTATTTGGCGAAGCAAATTGTGTTAAAAATTTCATAGTATGATATCCCTAGAGGCATATCTAAGAACAGTCAGTTAAAAGGCTTTTCTTGTTCTCTTGTTAGTTGGCACAGTTCCCCAGATACAAGGGGAGGTATGGTTGGAGAATTCTACGAATGCGGCTGTACTGTACTCGTACTTGTAGTCAGATTTGCTTTCTAATCAATTAAAGGTACCGCTCGGGAAAGTCCGGCAGCTTAGAATACTGTACTGTACTAGTACAGTACACGTACTCGAGTATTCACGAAAAAAAGCCCCGATGGTTTCGAGTCGTTCCTTTTGATCAAGATCAAATGTCGAAAGGGGTCCAGTACTCGAGTACCGGTAAACTTCCACACAACTCTTTCCGAAGAGGGCAATCCCACTCACGGGCTCGGAAACGCTGAGCGTTGCATGCGACGAATCAATGAAACGGTCTGGAGATTACAAAATTACCCGAATGAGGGTTTGCGCTGGTCTTTTTTGTTTCTTATCATATTTTCTTTTTTCTTTTTGCCCTTTCCCTCTTCCCTTCCTTCCGTCCTTCCATTGCCCTCCTCCGACTCTGGTTACAGGGGTGTTGGATGGATAAGCGCTCGGTATTGGACCTACTATTGGTCAGGAGGTGTAAGGGTACTCGAGTCACTTTGATTGGATTGGGGTAGGGATGAGCTGCTTTGAGAGGAAGCGTCACGGTCGCTGGTCCGAAAAGGGGTGTGGGAGAGAGTGAGGGGATGGGATGGGATGGGATGATAGGGCAACCGGTGCGGGAGTCCACGAGCATGTTTTTGTGTGTTTGTTGGTCTGTTCGTAGGAGGTGCTGTGCTTGGTTTGGAATGCTTTATTCATTGTTGGGGGGAAACTGTTTTTGGGAGTGATTGAGTTAGCTGCGGAATGCTGCTCTACCGGTACCATTACTCGAGTACTGTACGAGTACTAGTACATACTCGAGTAACTAGACTGTGGTTTAGATTTCGGTAGGTTACAAGTACCACTTGATAACCGGTACTTGGTGCAGCACCGTGGCCTATTTTGTTTTACTCGTGATCTTGGGTATGATATGATAGATTAATTTGCCTTCCAGGAATCCAAAGCTTATATTTACGGTGGTTTTAGTACCGCTACGCTAGGGAATTGAACCCTCGGGTGTCCCTTTTCTACGACCCTTTCTTTCTGCTTCCCTTCCTTCCCTTTCCCCCTGAGAGATTCTCGCTTGCCGCTCGTTCATGGTGTTAAACAACTGTCCATTGAATTCCCTCGTTTGTTTGTTCAACCATTGAACTCTGTACGCTCTTTTTTCCTTCCCCTTTTACTTACTTCTCTTCACTCTTTTTTAACAATTCTTTACATTCAACTGTTTGGCGTTGTTAGAGCCTTCTTTTTTCTTTCTTTTTTCCTTTTCTCTTCTTCTGATTTCCTCCCGACTTCGATCTCGAGCGGGCTCATGTTTGGGTCAGCCACGCAGCACCCCGAGTTGCCAACTGAGACCTGTAATTCCTGCCCTTCCCTTTCAATTTCTCCTCCCCCCCCAAACTAGCCAACGAATACATATCATACAAACAACACCACACCGGCCAGCGGTGACCCTCTCTCTCTCTCTTTTTAATTTCTGTTTGTCCGCCCGCTGACCTGGCTCTTGCTTGGTGGGGTTTTTTTTTTCTTTTTTTTCTTTTTTCTTTTCTTCTCAGCGAAAGTTGATTGATACATCTCGATCTCTTCCACACAAAGTGAGTACTCCTCTCGTATTTTTCCTTACTCCTACCTCCTTGTGGGGTACTCGAGTACTGTACTTTCTAACTGTGTTGCTTGTTTTCCTCCAAAGTTAACCGTTCGGATTTAGGTACTGGCGGTTCCTGCGTCCAATTAGTATCATACTTCTCGTTTTGCCGGCCACCCGAAATTTACAACCCCCCCCCCATCTCTCGCCCTCGACCCTACAGTGACTCCCTCTTTTCTCTCTTTTCCTCACCCGTCCAGCCTTAGCTCGCTCACCAACCTCGAAACTTCAAACGTCGACATTTTTTTCTCACCGCCTGGGGTCTCATTAGCCATCGTGGATTCCCACAAATCGTAATTCCTTCCCTCTCGTAAAGGTTGGCACAAGCATGGGGTCCCCCTCATTGCTTGCTTCGACATCTTCGCTCTCGCGGAGGTTATGGGGAATACTCTCTCTGTCTGTCGCGTTAGCGAGTGCTTTAACCGTAACTACAGTTCCGCAACCATCCTTCGACCTCGACGGCCTTGGTCACGTCGCTCTCGCGGGTGACTTTAATGCAATCTCCGTCTACGAGTACCTGGGTCAACCGGGGTCGTCGGCGTTTTCTAATGGGTCCGAGAGTTTACTGTCGCAGCTGCCCAACGGGGTATTCACGTCGCTGGCCTCGGCTGACGCCGCGATACAGGCTCTCTGCGTGCACCAGTTGAAAGATGGGACGGTAAAGGGGATATTTGTTGGCGGGAATTTCACGAGTCTGGGGAATGTGCCGGTTACTGGTGTGGCGTTGTTCAATCCTCTGGATGGGAAGGTGACGGCCCTGGATGGACTGGTGAAGGTGGGGAAGGTTCAGGCTTTGCTCTGCGATAGGGAGACGAATACAGTTTATGTTGGCGGAGATTTTATGGGTTCGAACTCTAGTAATGCCATTGCTTGGGTGGATGGGGTAGGATGGACGGATCTGCCCTTTGACGGATTTGATGCGCCAGTCAAGACAATCACCAAATCTCCTAATGATACCATTGTTTTTGGTGGGACCTTTAACAACCTTGTCAATGCTTCGAGCCCTCGTATCAAGCACGCTCAGACCGTTAATCTAGTTTCGACAAGTATTACTGCTGAGCAGACTACCGACCTAAGTCAGTTTGATGACCCGGCCGCTATTGTCTGCCCGGCTGGGAAGGGGAGGCAGTGGTTATTGAGAGATGGGCAGAGAGGATCTTGGACTGCGAACTTCAAGTTTTTATTTAGGCCCACCAAGTTGAGGATACGCAACGCCAACTTTGAAGGTTGTGGGACGAGGCTTTTCAGATTCACTGCGTTTCCTATGAACGGAATAATGAACCTTACCTACACCGATCCTGCAACTAATACATCCATGCACTGTGATGCTTGGTGTCCTCTTTCTGCTACGGCAGAGTTCGAAGACTTCTTTTTCGTGAACGAAGTTGCGATGAACAGTATTCGTGTGGACATTCTTGATTTCTATGGTGCCAGTGGTGGACTTGCTGGGATTGAGTTGTTCCAAGATGGTATGTTGAATTGTTGTTTGTTGTCTCGGATTGTTGATATGGAAGCTAATAAGTGATCTTAGACATTTATTCTTTTGCGTCAACAGATTTGAACGAGCCATCATGTGGAGGTGTTCCTGCCAAATCTAGCTCCGCTGTCACTGGGCGGTGGTTCGAGACAAAGGGTCTTGATGCGGACTCAGAGTATCTCTCTACTTACCTCTCCATGGATCAGCCAGGACCAGCTTCTGTAGTTTTTGAGCCGCATATCCAGCAGTCTGGGGAGTATGTTGTGCTCATGTACACACCAGGTTGCCGACAAGACAGCAGCTGCACTGCTAGGGGCCAAGTCAATGTCACTGGGACTTATACCAGGAATGGGGATCCTCAGCCAGCACCGCCTTACTATCAGACCAACGATTTCGCTAAATATGATACCGTGTATAGAGGATTCGTCGATGCCGCTGACGATACCTTCCGTCCTAGGGTCACTCTCGCTCCCGCTACTAATCAACCGTCTCCTGTTGTCAATATAGTTGCACAGAAGGTTCAATTCCTGATGATCACCAACTCAACACCCATCGGGACGAGTGAGGATGGCTCCGATTCTGGCTCTTTGGAGCTGAATGGTCTTTACGAGTTTGACCCTAAGCAGACCGACACCCCGAAGGCTTCCGATGTTGCTAAGTCGGTCATTAGTACTGCTGGAAGTCGATTGCGCACTGGTGCTAAGGTTAAGGCGGTTGTTTCTAAGGATAGTACCGTTTATGTAGCTGGTGAATTCTCAGCCAAGGATGATAGCTTTCAACATATCTTTACTATTGGCCCCAGCGGTGTTGCTTCTGTAACTCAGGGTGGTTTGGATGCGCCGGTCAACTCCCTGCTGCTTCAAGGAGATCTCCTGTATGTTGGTGGCCAATTCCAAAACACCAATTCTAGCTCCACAACTGGTTTAGGTTTTGTTGCTAGCTATAATACCAAGACGAGGGAATGGGGTGGACTGGGGTCTGGTGTTAATGGTCGTGTCAAGGAGTTGGTTCATATATCTTTGAACCTTACACGTGGAGCAAGGGATGGGATTGCCGTCAGTGGTGATTTCACCATGATCAAGGCAGACGGTGCTAACTCTGGTGCTGTGGATGTCGAGGGGTTTGCTGTCTGGATTCCGTCTGAAAAGCAATGGTTGGAACGAATGTCCAACGAGAGTATCTCACTCGGGGGTATTCTTTCGGCTTCCATCAATGTTCCTAACAGCAATATCCTCTACTCTGGCTCCATGTCTTCTCAGACCGACGCAGCACCTGGTGCCGTTTCCCTTCGTTCTAAGAACGGCCTCGACGTCCAAGCTTTCCCTATTCAGCTTGTCAGCAACCAGGAGGGTCGCGCTAATCGAAAACGTGCTGTCGTTCCTTCAGGTTTCACAGGTGCCGTCGCTGGAGTATTCTATCTCAATGACGGCAAGAACTACACTATCCTTGGCGGTCACTTTTCTGCTCAGGGTAACGATGGCACTGTCAACAATGTCGTAATCATTGATAACAAGTCAACAAATAACTCTGTCACTGGGATAGGAAATTCGCTTGACGCTTCTAGCCTTGTCCTTTCAATGGTTATTATCGATCAATTCTTGTTTATTGGTGGCTCGATTACTGGTAAGGTTGGCAATAACGATATTGGTGGATTGGCTGTGTGGGATATGTCCACGATGTCGTTCCCCAATGGGAGCCAGCCTATTAGGCTTCAAGGTAGTTACTCTTTCTCTATATGTTGAGGGGCGGTTGGGCTAACGAAGAGATAGGTGCCAATGGCGTGGAGGTTCATGCGATCACTCGTCGTCCTAGTAATAAGAGGGAGATCTATGTCGCCGGAAAGTTCGACCAAGCCGGTTCCCTGCCTTGTCCATCCCTTTGCATCTTTGACAATAATGCTAAGCAATGGGAGGCCCCTGGAATTGATGTTTCTGGGCAAATTAATGTCCTATACTGGGCCGATATCAATACCTTGCTTGTTGGAGGTGATATGAACATCAATAATACTGCTACGTATCTCGCGATCTACGACGCGAAGGCTAGCAGTTGGCGTGCCTTTAAGGGTGATATTACCAACATCCCTGGACCTGTTACCAGCATTGCTGTAAATGCCGATACCATCGATTCTATCTTCATTTCTGGCACAAGTGCGAATGGTGGGGCTGCTTATGTGATGAAGCTCAAGAGTGATGGGAAATTTCAAGCGTTGAGTATGTTGTCCAAATATCTCCCCTTATATCTATTTGCTGATTTTCGTAATAGCTGGTCTCGGGGACAACACCGTCATCAGGAGCGTCCAAGTTCTTGAACTCCAAGATGGTAACGATTCCAATGACTTCCTCGAAGATAACCAAGTCCTCCTCGTCATGGGATCCCTTAACCTCCCCAACTTTGGCAACGTCTCTGCCGCAACCTTCAATGGCACAGACTGGAAGCCCCTATTCCTTACCACCACTACAGGCAACCGACCGGGGACAATTGCCTCCTTGTTCTCTCAGAGACAACAGAAATTTTCACCTGGAGGTTAGTTTGTTCCCCTCGTACTCCTCTCTTATCACTTGCTAACAGAAATCCAAGGCAAAAAACTAGCGAAAGGCTTCGTAATCCTGATCTCCCTTGCCATCGCCCTGGGCCTTGTCTTCTTGCTCGTCTGCTTGGGTGTGTTGGCATCATACATTCGCCGCCGCCGTGAGGGATACGTCCCCATGCCGACTACGCCTTCACCTGGAGGGCAATCTCCGGATATGCAGGAGCGATTACCACCTTCACATCTGTTTAGTAGTATTGGACAGAATTCGGGAAGGGCTGGCGTGCCAGTGGTATAGCGTTCTTTTTTTTCGCAAAATAACGAAAATTAATTCATTCTTCCTCCCTTGCTCGGAGGGTCTTGGTTTAGCCTTTCCTCTGTTTAAACTTTCACTTTTTTCCCTTTGTCCGGCGTACTTTGCTTTCTTTTCTGTCCTTTGATTTTGTGCACAACTTAAATTCTTATTCTAGTGGGTTGGGGTTTTTTTCTTCTTAATATCTCGCCATTATCCCAACATGGCTAGTGATTCACCATCACCCCTTTCGAATGGGGCTTAATTCCCTGTATTATTTTATTTCCTCTTTTCCCCTTTTCTCCCCTTTCTCATTTCAACTGCTAAAGCGGATACTACTAGTACTACTGCTCTTCAGCTAGATATTCCCCTGGGGGCCTGGACATTGTCTAAATTTTTGTCCCTTTGGGGCTGGGCTTGATAATCCCTTCTTCCCATGATGTGATGGATGGGAAGAAGGAAAGGGGGTGATGGATTGGTGCGGGCTTGCGATTTGGATTGGATTGGATTGTTTGGAATAGAAGTTATGAGTTATGTCTCTGGTTGGTCCTGGTTTGTGCTCTTTCGGGGACGGGGAGGATGGGGAAGGAGATGTATGCAGTATTGCTACGGTAGTCCAAATAATTGTCTTTTCCTTCAAGGCTTTATTTAGATGCGTCCGGACTCGCGTCGGTTGATTGTGATAGTGTGCTGCACTGTATAAATTATTACAGCACCTTGACCAGCTAACCACTATAATATTACATCGAACGAACGACACATAACTTTTCCGCCTACCACCGATGTCAATACCTTTCTCCAATCCGTCTGTCACATTTATCAAAGTCAAAGCCAAAAGCCAGTCTACTTCCCCAACCCCTCCCGGCGGAACACATTCCCACTAGCACTCCTCCTCTCACTAGCAGGCTTTCCCCTTCCACCACTCTGCCCTCCCCGCCCACCTCTACCCTTCCGCCCCGATGTAGTGAAAAACGTAACCTCCCTCTCCCCCATCACCCCCCTTCCCCCATCAGCATTATTCCTAACCTTCTCCCGCGGTCGATCCTTTATGGAAGAAACCTGCTCGCCAAACGACCTCTCCCGATTGCGCCTCTTTTGCACAGACGAGGGCGCGAAGCCTCGCGTATCGTGGTTCGCCTTTTTGTAGGAGGATGTTGAGATGCGCATTTGTGGCTGCTTATTATGCTTCTGCCCATTTTCTGTTGTAGACTCATCGGAGGAGGGGGATGCTTGCTCTTTCTCCACCAGTGTTTCACGGGCGCGGGGGAGAGGAGGGAGGGGATTGGTGCTTGGGTTCAACTTTCGGAACTCCAACGATGTCTCGTCTACTTCAAAGTCCGGATTTTGGAAGAGGCGGGTGAAGCGTGTGTCCTTCAGGACTCCTTCCTCTCCATCTTCCTCCTTCTCCTTCTCCCTCTCCCTCTCCTTCTCCTTCTCCCCACTAGCTTTCGCCAACTTCCCTTCCAGCGCTACCAATCGCTCCGCTAGCCGCTTATTGACCTTGACTTTTGCGGTGGCAGCAGTGGAGCGGATGGAGCGGATCCGGCTCTCCCGCTGTTTCTCTATCTTCGCTGCTACCATGCGTTTCCGCTCGCGCTCCCATTCGAATGGATCGGCGATTAGTCGTGCTTCGTCGTAGAGTCTTTGGTCGACAAAGTAGCCGTGCATGTATGGCCGTACCAGGCTTCCTCCGGAAGTAGCCTTCTTCCCCCCATTAGTGTTGTTGGTGGCGTGGCCGCCGCCAACGAGGTGGTCAAGGTTGAGCTGTTTTAGTTCGGGCTTTGTTAGGAATTTGTAGTTGTCATATGTCACCACCTCCCCACTGGGGCCTGCGATGTCGGTTATGTAGGCGTCTGGATCGTTGATGTGTTTGTCTGCGAGTTGCTCGATTTGCGTGTCTAAATGCGCGCACCACCAGGGCGATGGGCCGAGTGCTGGTATGAGGAATGAGTGCATCTCCCGACCTTCGTTGGCGGTAAAGAGCATGCCAGAGTTAGGCACCACGCAAACGTCGTTTATGTCCACTGAGGGCTCGACGGAGGTCCATGGTTTCCCGCTTGCCTGGTCCCAGATCTTTATGATGCGTTTGTCGGCCGAGAGGACTTTTGGGGTGGAGGTTGTTTCGTAGGCAGTTTCTACGCCCCGGACGTTGGAATTGGGGGAGGATGAGTGCAGAAATCTTAAGGTTTTGATGGGGAAGCCGTAGCCTTGGTCTTTACTTATGAGGGGGGTTGGGGAGCGGATGTCGTAGAGGGTTATTATCCCTGCGGAGTTGCCAGTGGCCAGGGTTAATCCAGAGGGGTTGAATTCCAAAGCTGTGATGCCCGACTTCACTGGCTGACCAAAAACGCCGTATGAAGCGGCAGCAGAGGCTGGGGGTCCGAGAACGCCGACTCGATTCCGACTCCTTGGATCCCAGAACTCGGTCGTGCCCACGTCAGTCCCGAACGCCAAAAGCCCGTGCGAACCATCCGCAACCCCAACACACTCAACCGACCCCACATCCCCACCGCCTTCGGTAGCACCCCCATCATACCCCCCCAGAGAAAACGGCTTCAAAAACCTCCCCGCCTCCAAATCCAACCTATACACCTCCCGCCCCTCGGCCGCAACAACGACCTGCGCTGCAGGCTTCAAGTACGCCAGATCCCTTCCATACCTCGGAATTCTCGTGACGTGATGGCACCCCATAGCAGTATGAAACTCCAGCGACCGATCCGTCTGCAAGTGCAGACTCTTAGTATAATCCGTCGACAGCAGCACAAATTTCAAATTCAGCGACCCAGTGTGACGAGCATACTTCAGCGCTGACGATGGCAGGTGGTAGATGCGCTGCTGCGGCTTGTATGTCCCCGTCGCCATGGCGTACTCCCCATCCGGGCTCACACGCACGCACTGACTCGCCTCCTCGAACTCGAAATCCTGGATTAGCTCGATGCGAGAGTGGTAGGCCGCGTCGGAGCGCAGGCTGCACTTGCGCTTGCGCGCGAGCCAGTCTGGCAGCGAGCGGGTTGTCTGGCTGCCCGAGACTGTATACACTGAGATGCCGTTCTGCTGGGTGACTTTTAGCGACATAGTGTCTCTTGGTCTTCGCCGGGTGTATTCGCCCGAGGGGGTCAATTGAACGATTCGTCCTACTGATTTCTTTTCTTTCCGTTTCTCTCTTCTTTTTCCCCGGTGGAATTGTGTGGTGTTTGTTAAGAGGGGTTAGCTAGTGGTGGTGGGAGAGGTAAAGATATATGGTTGATAAAGCTCCAAGGTTTTTCTCCCTCTTTTTTTTCTCTTTTTTTGTATGATACTGTCAACCCTTGGAGCCGCTTGAAGTGGGGTCTTGGCACCCTCTTGGAACCCTAACCCTGTCTACAGCAGGGTTTGGCTAAAGTTTGGGAAAAATAGTGGGGTGATGGAGGGTTTTTACTCATCTATCAGTTAGAATTTGAGTGAACTCTAAGGTTCCCGGGAAGTTGCGGTGAGAGGTGTCGTATTCGTGATACTCAGACGAGGTAGAAGCTCATTGTTTATGTAAGGCGATAGCGGAAAGGGAGTGGGTAGGAAACAGGGTCCGAGTGATTTGTGGTGAACGACAATCTACTTGAATAATATCGCTATTTATTTATTTTTCCCAGAAGGTATTGGTGACTTGTTTTACCGTAGCTGCTATTTGTGTGGTGGCTGTCGCTCTTCATAAGCTTCGAGCTTCCCCACTTTTATGTGTTACACTGGCAGAATTCACCATGAAGCTTAACCTTAATCTCAGCTCCCTCACCGGAGGAACCCAACCCCGGCCATAACACGCCTTTACACCATAAATCAAACCCACAGTGGTCGGGGCAAACTGCGCCGAGATATCGTTTAAATTCAAAATCCCCGCTCACCCCAAAGAAAAAAAGCGCATCGAATACAATGTCAATTCCAAATCTCCGCACCTCAACCCGTTCATCCGGATCCTGTTTCCAGAAGTCCCCAGAAGTTTCAAAAGCACGGAATAGACACATGGGAACATGACTAAGTAACTGTGGCTGAGCTTAGTTGGTATAAGAAAATATAACACCGTCGCCGCCGTGAATAACTTGATGAATTTTCAAACATGCTGTCTCAGGATCATGGGCTTTTCTTAGTTGCCCCCTCTGCTGCGGCTGCCCCTTCTGCCTCGGGGAAGACGGGCTCGAAATATCCATCGTCGGGTTTAGCTTGCTGGGTGACCTCGTATGCCTAAACCAATGATAAGTTATCGGCCGGATCAAATTGTGAGAGATTCATCAAACTGTTGGATGAAGACATACCTGAGCTGATGGTGATGATGGGAGCTGTGTTTGCTCGTTAGTTTAATTGGTAATGTTTATGCAGCAGAGCCACTTACGTTGACCAGGACCGCTGGGTTCTTCATTTTGGCCTGTCTGACTTCCTGTATTGATCATCCAGTTAGTCATGGTTGTGATTCACGACCCGACATTTTATGTATGTACCTCTTGGATTTGAGTGTTTGCCCCAGACTTTTCTGTTCCTGAAAGGAGTTTGAGGCCCTCGTGCTCAGTGCTACCAACCACCATGACCTTGACGTCGTCCTTGGGTTCAGTGCTCGTTGCTGCGTCTTTGCTCCTTGGAGGAGTAGCTTCAAGCTCAGCTATTACTGCGGCTGAGGAAGTATTGTCCATATTGAAAAATGTCCGTTAATCGCCGCACGTTGAAGCACAGCAAACTTTAAGTGTAATCGAACCGAAGTTGTATGCCTGTACCAGCAGTGCCTGTGTATTTTTCGCTGTTGAATAGACTGTCTTTTTTTTTTGTTGTGGTTTGATTCGCTGTTTGGGAGATGAGGTTCGAGATGGGGAAAAGAGACTTGTGGGGAGAAAACAGGAAGAAGAGGGAGAGGGGGTAGCAACCCTGGGGCTGAGGAGGGGATTGCCCAGAAACGCACGCCGTACGGCTGAGTTAGTGAGCGCGCCTCGAGTTAAAATGCCAGTTCGGCATATCCCGAGTGCCAAGAAATAACTGTTAACCAGGGGATTGGGGTGGAAGAAGCTTGGACTAACGAGAGGCCCTTCCTCTGCCGCACACAGTACGTATCGTTTTCGGGCGGCCATTTTAACATCATGACCTCTCACTGCATTGTGCACTGTGCAGTATGATAGGAGCTCTCGTCTTGGCCATTAAAGTTAACCTAGAATTCTGACTGATCTTCCTGATTTTGATGGCTTTGCCAATACTGTAATGTGTTCTGCAGGGTGTGTAAGGCGGAGGATAATGCCATCAATGAAAAGGTCTTTGTCGGTATTGCACTCTCCCCGGCCCGATATTTTTCCGCACCCTTCCGCCAGGCTGCCGGTGATTACAGTTGTATACGATAGTAGATCAGGCACGAGGCCGAGGGAAGATGTAACCAGACGATACGAAGCGCGAAATACCTTGCCAGGGTGATGGTTCGTTTGATTCCGTGAACGGGATTCGCTCTACCGGGAGCACATTTGGGGGTTCCATATGTACCGTAGATCCATAACTGCAATCTGATGCACACCCAATTGCAGTCTGTCCACGCCTACCGCTGACATTTTGGCGATGCTGCTAAACTAACCGTTACGCTATTGGGGCCCAGTGGGCTCAGTACCGTAGGTGAAAGGCCCTTTACTGCGCTTCCTGCTGAATGGGATTTTTGGAATGTTAAGTAGGCACCGGTATCATACCTGGAGATCTTCTCCGGGTTGACCCGGGTTTAGGCAACCCCTAAGGCGGTACTCGAGTATCATAATATTATATTATTACAGTACTGAACAGAGATGGATGGTAAAGTCAAACATCAACCACGGTACTAGACTATGATATTTCGTTTTTACCACTACCCTTTGCCTCATTCTTATAAACCCTTTTCCTCGGAGTGCCTTGCAGGAAGGGAAAGTCGGAGCCATAAAAATAGCGAATAGGCAACCAGCATGAAGGGGGGGATGCGATAGTGAGGGTTGCTGATTACATTAAAACTGCGATGGCCAGAACCACTGTTCATGTAATAATGCTTCCATTGGATGGTCATACTTGTTCTTTGTAAAAGTGCAGGAAAAAGAGCCCGACCTTCCCAACGCCCCATGCACCCTTGACGCCCTCTCAACTTAGCCTTCTTGGGGCACGCCCCCCCACCGTCGTCATTCCTGTACATCAATTTATTACAAACCCGTCGCTTTCTGGTACTTGTACTCGATCCTAGCAAGTTATAGTGTGAGATTTCTGGGTAGATGCTGATGCAATGCAAAGGGCTCTCTATCTAGAGAAGATGAAGTCTGGGATGGGTGGTTTCTCACATTATCGACTCCCACCCTATCGTTTTGGCTTCAGGTTTCCCGTTGCGGGGGGAAATTGAAAGTTTTGAGAATAACTTATGTGGTCGGTTGGACAACTACCTCGAGCACGTTGGACCTCTCCCGTCCATGTTTACCTCATGGAATCACAGAATTTATCCATATCAGGGGCTATTCCCAGAGAATAGTTTCATCATAAATAATTAATCTGAACGTCATCCCCCCCCTTCCCGATTATCATGGGCTAGTAACTTTGGGAGGGAGGGAGAGGTCAAATGTTGATGAGCTGGGGTGCCTCTTTGGAGTAACAAGGTGAAGTGACTGGGATGTGTGTTCTGGAAGGAGTTTGACTGCAGGATTGCCTTTGTTAGGGGACAATCATTTGGCACGAGTGCTGATTCACTGTGGTGATGGGGATAGATAAGGCTATACATGTAGTGGAAGAAAGAGTGAGATTGACAGTATAACCCTTAGCCCCTTAGCCTCTACAAGAACTGTAAGTAGAGTCTCTATAAGGCTTGGGAACGAAGTCTTCTTCTCTTCTCTCTTCACTCATGTAAATTCCCTATTCCTTTCAAGGGACGGGAAAATTGAATCTGGGAAGGTTAATTCGCTTGGGGTGGACTTCTAGGAGGCTCGATATCTCATTGAAACAGAAGGTGGTGCGCGGGGTAGGTTGCATATTATTATCGGTAGTCCAACATATAAATGGGGCACTGTATCTTGGAGGGATGGAGGGCGGTATGGTAATAATTACTACTCCCATTACGAGTCCAGAACCTGCAGCATTCTTTGCCGGGTAACTAGACACTAGGTGTATCGTATTTTGACAAGATTCTGTTCGAGCAATAGGACAGGGAACGAACAGGAGGAGTGGTTGGGTGTTGGGCGGTGAAAAAGAAGAAAAAAAGAAAAAAAGAAAAAAAATAATACTTTGTATATTGAATTGATTGTACTGGTATTACAGTAATGCACTTGAGTTCGTAGTTGGTTCCATAGGCAGCTTCATAATGTTAGAGAGGAATAATGTTGGGTCGTCTTCGCCTGCTAAAGGGGATCCTAGTGACCGCTTCCGGTCCCCATAACCGATCGGAGGGAAAGGGAGGAAAAAAAAAAAAATGATGTTCCTGGGTGCTAGCTACACCTCCGGCAGCGGTGGAGGCCGGAGTTTGTAAACAGCACTGTTCGCAACGGTACCTAATGGAGCTACGGTAGAGTATACAAATGCGTAGCCTCGAGACCTAGAGAGAGGCTCAGAGTATTTTAGTTTGCCCCACCGACCCCAAACCTCTTTCCAACCCCTCTTCTTCCCCCCCATCTCTCTTCCGCCCGCTCCCATCCTTTTTCTCATTCTCCAACGCTACTCCTATTGCCAACTCGGTGAACCTGCTAAGGTCACAAATAAAACCAACCCCACGATACTTTGAAGCATCGTATTTCGCCGACCGGGGCCTGACAAAACATGGCAGACACTATTATTCAATCCGACAGCGGAGCTAACCCTGGGTGAGTTTCCTCCTCCAGATTTCGTCATCACTTGGTATTATTGTTGCTTGTCTACCATTTTGATTATTTTCCTTGAATATTTTCTTAGTGCGAAGAGCCAATCGCGCTGCGTTCATATTTGCGAAAAGAAAACATACTACTCTAGGGAGTACTTATGCGGGATGGGGCGAGTAGTGGGGCATGGGAGCTGATAACATCACAGCACTATCGAACTCAAAAAGAACACCACAATCATTGTCCTCGGTGCATCTGGCGACTTGGCTAAGAAGAAGACTGTAAGAACATGTCCGAATGAAATCGAGGAATCGGGATGAAAACTAATCATGTACTACAGTTTCCCGCTCTCTTTGGTTTGGTTGGTTTTTCTTCCTTATTTTCACTTTTTCGCTAAGCTTGGGTGGGCTAATTGAGCGCTGATTCGCCGAGCAGCACAGAAACAACTTCCTTCCACAAGACTGTAAGATAGTTGGATATGCAAGAACCAAAATGGACGGGAAGGAATACCTTTCTCGAGTCAAATCATACATCAAGACCCCTACCAAGGAAATGGAGGAACAGCTGGAAACATTCATGAAAAAGTGTTCTTACGTTTCCGGTCAGTACGACCAGGACGAATCGTTCATACGGCTTCGTGATCACCTCGACGACCTTGAGGCAGGGCGTCCAGAGAATCATCGTATTTTCTACATGGCACTACCCCCCAGTGTCTTTACCACTGTTTCTCAGCACTTGAAGAAGAATTGCTACCCAGACAGGGGAATTGCGAGACTTATTGTAAGGCCCGGATAAGCCCAAACTTGGTTGTTGAAAATAGACTCACAACCTCGATAGGTTGAGAAACCATTTGGTAAAGATTTGCAGAGCTCCAGGGACCTCCAGAAGTCTCTCGAACCTGACTGGAAGGAGGAGGAAATTTTCCGCATCGACCATTACCTTGGAAAGGAGATGGTTAAAAATTTGCTCATTTTGAGATTCGGTAACGAGTTCTTTGGTGCCACATGGAATAGAAACCATATCGACAACATTCAGGTATGTTGCACCGAAAAAGTCCGCGGCCTTGAGTGATGAAGTTAACACCTATTATTTGACTAGATCACCTTCAAGGAGCCCTTTGGAACTGAAGGACGTGGGGGTTACTTCGATGATTTTGGGATCATTCGCGATGTTATGCAGAATCGTTAGTTTCCTATTGATAATGAGTGTTCTGTCATTACCTAACCCTTATCAGATCTTCTCCAGGTATTGACTATTATTGGGATGGAACGTCCAATTTCGTTTTCCGCTGAAGATATCCGCGATGAGAAGGTGGAAAAAATATTACTTTTCGCCCTCGAAACACAGTTACTAACCGATTTTGCAGGTCAGAGTTCTTCGAGGAATTCCAGCTATTGAGCCCAAGAATGTCATCATTGGCCAATACGGGAAATCGCTTGATGGCAGCAAGCCTGGGTATCTGGATGACGACACTGTCCCTAAGGATAGCAGATGTCCAACATTCTGTGCTTTGGCTGTCTATATCAAGAACGAGAGATGGGACGGTGTTCCATTCATCCTGAAGGCTGGAAAAGGTATTTATTGAAATTCTTAATAGCGCGTGGTTTGCGAATTCCTGCTGATGTATCCTATCCTTTCTAAATAGCCCTGAACGAGCAGAAGACCGAAATAAGAATCCAGTTTAAGGACGTCACCAGCGGTATCTTCAAGGACATCCCCCGCAATGAGCTTGTCATTCGTGTCCAGCCCAACGAGAGTGTCTATATTAAGATGAACTCGAAGCTGCCTGGATTAAGTATGCAAACTGCTGTCACTGAACTTGATCTTACCTATAGACGCCGTTTCAGTGATCTCAAAATCCCAGAGGCATACGAGGCACTTATTCTCGACGCTTTGAAGGGCGACCATTCTAACTTTGTCCGCGATGATGAATTGGACGCAAGCTGGAGAATTTTCACCCCTCTCTTGCATTACCTCGACGAGAACAAAGAGATTATTCCAATGGAATACCCATACGGTAAGTCTTAGCGTGCTCAAAAATCTAGCGCATAATCTAACCTCTATCATAGGTTCACGTGGGCCGGCAGTTTTGGATGACTTCACCGCGTCTTACGGATATAAGTTTAACGATCTTGGAGGATATCAGTGGCCTGTACAGAGCACTGCTCCTCACAAGCTCTAGCCAGGGTTTTTCCTTTTCCAATGTGATGGCTTTAAAACCTTCCGCAAAAATGCCAGGAACCTTTTACCACATCCTGACCATGAATCTCGTGGCATGAGTGTTATTTCTCTTTTTGGATCACAGCGACTTGACCGAACCACTAGTTTTCAATGTTAGAAATTACCACTTTTGTTTCTTTTCCTTTTTTTTTTTCCTTTTCTCTTTTTTTTCCGGTTTTTCGTTTGTGCCTTTCCTGCTGTGGCTTTTATGTCGTAGGGCCTTTTTCATTCTTCTGCTTGAATAGCAATTGTACTTTAAACATCACAATTGCATACCGATTATCCTGGTATGATAGCCACTTTGGAAACTAGATTAGGGGTTATTTGTGTAGCAACCGCAGAGCGCGATACAAGTGCTCAAAGGCTCAGTAGAGCTTACTTGATGATAGAGAAATGTTTTCCCCTAAGGGTGATTTAGTGTGGTCGAGTGCTGTGTAGCACAGTACTCGTATATTACTCCATCATTATATGATACTATACACAATCTATAACTTATCATTAGTATGGAAAAGTTGTTTGATAATAATACTCGAGTACTCGTATTATGATACTAGTATGATACCATTGCTATTTCTTGGCAGACCTTAGGATGACACAGCCACAGCTGCTTGGGGTATGGTAGCACACAGGCATAGTTGAGCTCAGGGATAAATTTATTTGGTTGCACAGCTACGGTACTCGTACCGTAGGTAAGATAAATTCCGGACATCCTTTACTACTTCATCCTTGACTACAGTTCATCAACAGAGTTCCACCGACTGACATACAAATTTTTCCGTCTCTCTCACTTTCTTCCCTTTAGTCTACGCCCTCTCTTTTTTTTTCAAAAGATTACGAAGTATCCCTAAACGGACGCATCCCCGAAATAAGCCCCTGGATACCACTACCCACCGCCCCCCAGGATCTCTAGAGCCTAATATCAAGACCACCGCGGCGGATACAACTCCTTTACGGGAATAGCTATTCTCCAGGTTTAAGTTTATGGCGGCGACATGGGCGGGTGCCCCGAAGATTAGAGGCCCATCGGACCCGGTTCGCATGGTGTTGTTGACTGTGTGGTTCGTTTGTCTATCACAATCACCAGAGTGCATGGACTCCTAGGAACTCGCAAACTGTGTTGCGAGCTGTGCTGACATATTAGCTGCCCTTCGTAGTCTTTCCGGAGTTCAGGTAGTTTCCCCAATCTGAGGTTCAGTGCAGATTGAACAATTTTTCCTGAAATTGAGGTTCAGGTGCTAATGTATTGGAACATGTAGCTTGTATGGGGTATCGAAATGGCCTGTATGCACTCAGCGACTGCTCCTGCGCTTTTGGCGGTTTGCTAAATTCTGCGTCTTGTTCCAGACTGCTCACCCTATCTACTATCGCTTGGCCTCACCAAATCGCTAATGAGCCTGGTATGGAATATTGGCCCTCTTTCAGGCCTGATAACCCAGCCGGTTGTTGGTGCCATTGCGGATAGGTCTCGCTCACGTTTTGGTATGGCCTGGGATTTCCATGGAAGTGTGGCTAAATGCTGATTAGACAAAACAGGAAGGAGACGCCCAGTTATGGTGGTTGGAGCTACTGCTGTTGCAATGGCGTTAATTTCACTGGGTTGGACAAAGGAGATCGTTGGGCTATTCTTTTCTCCTGGAGAAACAGTTTGTCACCTGTCATGCCGAAGTTGTTAATTGTTGACATGTGGGAGGAATTAACAGATAACAGGCAAACACGTGCACAATTCTCCTTGCGATTCTGTCAATATATCTAGTGGATTTTGCTATTAATGCCGGTAAGCTATCTTGCATTGTTCACACGAGGCATCGGTAGTAACTGCCATTTATAGTCCAGGCTTGTTGCAGAGCTCTCATCGTTGATACCCTGCCTATTCCTCAGCAACAACACGGAAGCGCTTGGGGTAAGCCCTTGAAATAATTCTGGTGTCGCCAAAGCTGACAATATGATAGCCAGTAGAATGATCGCGGTAGGAAACATTGCTGGTTACTTTGCGTATGTAGAAACCCACAAGATTAGTTGTCACAAAGAGCCTGAGAACCATTTTTAGGGGTACAATTGACCTTATGTCAATCTTCGGTGCTACTATCGGCGATACTCAGTTCAAACAGCTGATGGTACTTGCATCTATTTCACTCATGTCTTGCGTACTTATAACTTGCTTTTCTGTAGAAGAGCGGGTGCTTTTAACTCGAAGGTATACTAACCAGTGGAGACTTAATTTTGTGGTGCTAATTATGAGCCCCCAGGAAATCCGATGGAGGTTCGACCGCGCTTCAAGTTTTCGCTCTTATCTGGAAGACAATGTGGCATCTCCCGACTGGGATATGGGATATGTGTGTGGTTCTTTTCTGGGCCTGGATAGGTAATCCACCTAGACTGCACAGTATGCAGAATGTTGAGGTTTAGATGTATAAGCTGATGTCCCTGAAGGCTGGTTTCCTTTCATGGTCTATAGTACGACATTTGTAGCCGAAGTTCTTAAACGCTACGACACAGTCGCCCGGGAAAGTCTTGAGACTTCTGACGATGCCCTTGGTGACATTGCCAGAGTGGGAAGCATGGCATTGGTTCTATTCTCTTGTGTGTCTTTGGCCGCCTCGGTTCTATTACCCTGGGCGGTAGACTCTCCAGAATCACGAAAGGGTGTCAAAAGGCACATTGTACCAATAAGCTCCTTGGAGCGGCTCTCCGAAAAGATTGCGCCTTATAAGCCCAACCTAGCAAACACATGGATATTTGGTCATATTATCTACGCATTTCTCATGCTTACAACAATATTCATTGGGACGGTGGGCTCTGCGACATTCTGTGTCGCGCTCAGCGGAGGGTGAGTTATCCGATATTCTACCTTGTTTCGACAAAAGCTTTCTCACAACTCTCTAGGTCTTGGGCGTTAATGACATGGGTAATCTGGACAAAAGTTCCCGGTTCGGGTTTTTTTACTGACATCTTCCTGTAGGCACCTTTTAGTATCGTGGGTGAAGAAATCAACAAGCTCTGTGAGTCTTCCGGAACGGTACATCGGCCTCGCAGTGGCCCCTACGACCCTGTTGCACAAAATGAGCTTGATCATGATGTGCAAGAAATGGAAATGATCAGAGCCTCGATATCTGCTGATGCCGCCCCAATAGTCGCTGATCCAGAGGTCCAGTCACACGAGTCGAGCGATCTTGCAGGTGTATAGTGAGTTACCTTTTCTACATAGTATCATCACCAGCCCACCGGGCACTAACGAAACAGTCTCGGAATCATGAATGTGTTTTCATGTCTTCCCCAATTCGTGGGCTCTTTCATATCCTTCGCTGTATTCTCCATTCTTGAGCCAGGAAAAAGTCCTGAGTTTTCCGAAGGAGGAAGCTCTGAAGCACCGACCTATAGGGTAAACGCCATTGCAGTCTGTATGGGCATTGGAGGAATCGCCACTCTAGTGGCGGCACACTTCACTACGAGGTTTAGGTATCGTTGAGTTGAGGTGCCTATTACTGGCATCGGGACGAATGTACTGTACATTACTCTTTGTTTCTCTGGGCGAGGTTGTGGGAAGTATGTTGCAACAAACTAGAATACCCATGGGCGTTTGGGATAAGCTGCAAGCAGAATATCTATGATATTCAATCAAATTGGCTTTCAAAGGCCTTGTAGGAGTATGGCTATCTTAGGGCAGGCAAGTATAATATTTAGCTGAAGTGTCAAGCGACGAGTGAGTGGGTATGATGTGACAGCGGACTTGTTCCGAAACTCTAGACTACCAAGTGCAAAAGCAACCTAAAACCGCCCAAAGAGGTCTGCAGACCACATATAGGGAGAGAAACAGCAAGCATTTTGATGTAGGTTCCCACATATACAACTTTCTATAGTACGATATCATAACTAGCTTACAAGTTAGCATCATGCTCGAGTACGAGTACGGTACTTAGTACAAGAGGTTCAATCAAGCTTAAAGCAAATAGTCCTAACCTTTGTTCCTCGGGTGATGCCAAATCCCCGACTAACGGCCGACGACGCCCCACCCCCTGATCAGGTCCAGCAACGCAACCGAGCAAACCCATTCACAGTTTTCTCCTTTCCTCCCTTTCACCTTAACCCACCCACCCCTCCTTAGAACTCCATAACACAGGGGTACAGGAACATCTGCGCTCTCACCACACATACCACAGGCAGAGGGGTAGAGGGAAGGATTTCCAAAATGATTACTATCAGTATGTTTCTGTGCCATCCAATGAACTACGACACTGCAATTGTAAATAAATAACTAATATTAACACAGAGGTTCCCTGTTCTTCCGCAAACATCGGTTTGCTCTAACCTACAATTGCGCGCTACAAACACCATAACTAACAGCCGGCCACAGGTCCCGGCTTCGATGTTGTTGGCCTCTCACTCTCCATCTGGCTAACTCTCCAGGTCAACATTGTTACCACTACCACCACCACCGATACAACTCCCCCCCCACACACCCTAAACTGCAACATCACTTACGAGGGCGAAGGCGCTTCTCACGTCCCGCTAGCTGCCGACGCAAACCTCATAACCCGCACAGCACTATACGTCCTCAAATGTCACGGCCAACGCACATTCCCGCGGACTACGCATGTCCACATCGTCAACCCCATCCCACTCGGTCGCGGTTTGGGCTCTTCAGGCGCTGCAGTCGTAGCAGGCGTTCTCCTCGCCAACTCCGTCAGCAAATTAGGTCTTAGCAAGGACCGTATGATGGACTATTGCCTCATGATCGAGCGACATCCGGATAACGTCATGGCGGCCATGATGGGCGGGTTTGTCGGTAGTTATCTTAGGGAGCTAGATCCCGCCGATATGGAGAGGAAGGAGATCCCACTTGCGGAAGTGTTGCCGGAACCAGCGGGGGGGATAAATACCGGGTTGAGGCCCCCCGAGCCCCCCCTCGGGATTGGACACTATATCAAGTTTGGATGGGCGAAGGAGGTTAAGGCTGTTGCTATCATCCCGGATTTTGAGGTCTCGACCGCAACCGCTAGGGAGGTCTTGCCGGAGGTTTATTCTAAGAAGGACATGGCTTGTCTCTCGCCCATAACTGGGACTTCTGGAGTGAAGAGATGTGGACTAATGGGAGTAGATATTCAACCTACAAAGACTCGCTGTCTTAACCACCGCACTAACTCGCTCCCCTCCGGACGCGGAATTGATCTTCCAAGCGATGCAGGATAAAGTTCACCAACCCTACCGCAAGCACCTTGTACCTCCTTCCCTCCCTTCTTTTCTATCATCCCACTACGCTAACTAAACCCACCAGATCCCAGGACTCCCAGAAATACTCGCCTCCGTAACCCCTCAGTCCCACCCGGGCCTCTTGGGAATCTGCCTCTCCGGTGCGGGACCTACGATACTGGCGTTGGCAACCCACAATTTTGAACATATTGCGGAGATGATCATGGCGAGGTTCAAACAGGAGGGTATCACGTGTAGATATGAATTGCTTGAGCCAGCGTACGAGGGGGCGCAGGTTATCGAATCTTAATCTTGAGAACCTTTGTCCGTCCTTGTTAGATGTTGATAGATGGGTGGATAGATGGCAGCTGTATAAAGACGGGGAACATGTGTTGATAGATTTTTTTCCCATCCTTTCTTTGCTTTGCTGGCTACAGACACCTTTTATTCTTGCACCGAGGGTTGCGGACGATGGAGATATGGAATTGTCGAGGTTCGATTAGAAGGTGTGACGCGGGGCAACCATGAATCCATTGTTTGTAAAGAACCAATGTCCCAAATAATACTTGTACAGACATTCGCACACCACATCGTCCCCCAACCACCTCTAAAAAGAAAAAAGAAGATTCATAGCCACGTTTATTAGACCAAGAGGCCACATCTCTAAAATGCAATTGTGAAAACCTATATCACAGCAGACCCCAGCAAATTCTGTTGAGTCTAACTAACCCTTAGCCAACACCTCCGAAATCCTCAAAGCAAGATCCAAGATCTGTAAATGCTCATCGGACCCATCCACCAAACGCTTATCCACCTCAGAGAAGATGAGGACGATATCGTTCTTCTGTTCGGCGGTGACCTCGTCGTTGAATACGAGCTTGTTATATAGCTTCAAGGTACTATTAGTTTTGTTTCGTCTAATTGGGGGAATCGGAAATATAATAATACCTGAAAGACTACTTGCCCGGCGCTCCAGCCATCCGCAACAATGTCCTGGACTAGCCTCGAGATCTCAGAGTACGCGCTTTTGCCCTTCTCAAGCTCACATGCTTCTAATAGTTTGTCGATTGTCTGGTCGGGTATTACTCCCGCAATTTCTTGGATGGACTTGACAGTGATCTTCTTGCTGTCCAAGACAAGTTTGGAGTCGTCCTCATCATCATCGTCCTCCCCAGCCTCCATCTCTTCGTCTCCCTCATCGTCGACTTTCTTAGGCTTAGGCCGAATGATCGGATTATGCAGTCTAGCCGCAGACTGCAAGTAGGTAATGGCCTTCCTTAAATCCCCTTCGGAGACCTTAATCAGCGCATCGATGACCCCATCTTCATACTCCACATTCTCCATCTTGGCAATCTCCTCCAGCCTCAACTTTGCATTCTCCTCGTCCAGCGGCTTGAACCGGAACTTGGAGCATCTCGAGGCAAGCGGATCAATGATCCTGGTAACGTAATTGCAGATCAAGCAGAATCTGGTTATCTTGCTGTACGTCTCCATGGTTCGCCTAAGGGCGGATTGGGCATCCTGGGTCATTGAGTCGGCTTCGTCTAGGATGATGATTTTGTAAGGGGGGCATGGATAGTTCGAGGATTGGGTGGAGCTAGCAGTAGAAACAGTAATCCGGGCGAAGTTTTTGACCTTCTCACGGACGATAGAGATACCACGCTCATCGGATGCGTTAAGTTCGAGGACCCGGCTTTTCATTAATTCGGGCCTGAAAGGGGGATGCCGTTAGAAGACTGATAACTGTGGAACGACGGAGGGGATTCCCACCCGTAGAGCTCTTTTGCCAGAGCGAGGACTGTGGAAGTTTTCCCGGTACCTGGGGGACCGTAGAAGAGCATGTGGGGAAGCTGATTGTTCCAACGGTTAGCTAATTGGATACCATATCAAGTATTCCAGGGGAACAAACATTAGAGGATTGTAGAGTGCGTTTGAGGACAGAGATAGTATGGTCTTGAGCAGAGACATCGTTAAGGTTTTTAGGACGGCTGCGTAATAATCGAAAATTGTCAATCGACTTGAACCAGAGGGAATAGCCAAAGCAGGGAACCCACTATTTTTCAACCCAAGGAACTGGTCTATTAGGGTCTTTTGCTTTCGTTGAAGGGACGGCGGAATTCTGTGCAGCGGCTGCAACAGCCCTACGGCCCGCTAGGTCAAAGAAGGAAGCCATGATCAAGGATTGGGTATGGATGTAGGAGGGTTTGAAGGCCAAAGGTAAGGATGGGGAGAGCAGGCGGTTGACGAATGACAGTGGGAGCGATAGTCTAAGACTCTAAGCAGGTGGGGAAACGCGTTTTCTGAACGATACCCATAATCATAAGTTAGCGTGTCGCGTTCCTGTGATGTCACCTAACCCTAATGTGCAACACCCTGTCTTAAAGTCGTATGATATCATATCATTTGATACTTGGATGAAACCTTGATGCAACCGCTGGTCGCTACTAATTGTGGGCAGATCTGCGCTTCACATGCGTGAATAGCAGGGGGATTGGTGGTCAAGGCTGAAGATACTTCTGCGGAAAACACTTCGAGTATTTCCTAAGACCCCCGAGCCAAATCACTACCCCTCATCTCAAACTCAAAGCCTCGTAAGAAACCTCTTAAGCATTCCGACAGTCGAGAGTTGATCACTCGTATGGTGCTGACAAAGGTTGAAGCCGAGCTAAATCGATCTCAGGGAACACTCAATGCGATAGCGCTATTCCGCAAAACGCCCACTCTTCCGCAGCTTTGCTTACAGTAAACATACCGACAAGCCAGCAACCAACAACCCCACCATCCCCCGCCAGTCCTCCGCCAAAAAGAAGAAAGAAATAATTATAAAAGCTACTCTCTGTCCCCCACACAGAGTATCTTCCTTCTTCATATGATTCAATGAGCGATGCTAGAGACCGACAGCCCCCTGCTGCCACCCAACCGGAGGAGGACCAGGAACGAAATCAGGACCGCTATTTCAAGATTCTACGTTACAAACGATCCGAGTTCCTCGACCACCTGTGGCGGAACTTAGATCGGATCACTTATTGCTACTTCGGCTATCTATATTATCTAGAGTGAGTGGTGTCAATTCTCTCCCTCCCTCCGGCCGTCCCCCAGATCGAGCGCGAGCTGACCGGGTGCTTGGGGACAATAGTTGTAGCTTTTTCAGGTTCTTCCTTCGATGCGCTATTCAGATGAACTACCTCACTCCGAAACCTATGGGTCTTCCTATGGTACCGCAGAAGAGGTCAGATATCATTGCTCTGTTTGGCTCCGGGGGTTTTTGTTTTCTATGGCATGTCATCACATCTCCCCCTAGTGCTGGGGAACTCACGAACGGTTATCTGCATGGCGGGTTGATAATAGATTTTATTGGACAGGGTAAGCCCAGGTTTCTTGCCCCTAGGAGTGGTTCTCTTCCTAATTCGGGTGTTTTCAGAGGGACCAATATCGAAATGGCGACTAGTGTATATGGATTTCGCCATACTGTTTCTCCAGCTAGTAATGCTCACAGTCATTGCTGTGAAGCACGATCACGATGCCGAGAGTGTCAGGATCGAAGAAGGCCGACAGCCACCACAAGACCTAGACAGTGAGGAGCGAGGAGAGGCTCGGAGATATTCAACCTCTTCACACGGAAGTTTCGGTGGGGGAAGTGCACGAGTGCAGGGAGACGAAGAAGCCGTATTAATGAACGGAGATGAGCCTGTTGCCGGCTCAGCGGAGACAAACATGCAGAAAAGGACTTTTGAGATATCATCCGGGGAGTACTTGATCGCAAAGATCGATATCGTAGAACATGTCAAGAAGCAATGGAACAAGGGCGCCACAGTTACGACCGATGCACCCGCTATGCCTCACTTGAGGCCGACATGAGTTTTGGGACCCATGGAAGGATATCAGATGACGCTTCTATTGCCCTTTAATTTTGCTTCTAGGGGGTACTTTTTGCTTTGGAAATGTATATCAGTTTCTTGCCATGGCGTTTGGTGCGAACGATCGATGGTTTCGGTATTGAAGGATCAGAGCTCTCTATAATCAGAGGGACACATAATCTCCATCACTGTAATGTACAATAGGTTAGAATACGATATGATAATCACAACTATGCTGGAATCTCCACCGACAAGCAACCGAACTTATTTAATATTGACCACGTGACATTAGATGTAGGTGGTTACAGCAAACAGACCCTAAATTTATTAGAAGTCTAAAAATAAAAATAAAAATGCAACTGCTACGCATATGATGCAAGTACAAGTACTGTACTTAGTACAGTAAAATCGAGTATCGTACCGGTATGATACTTGAGTAGATAGATTACCAAGGTGTAAGTGTGATAACCGAAGCTGTCACCAATAACCCTCGCTTTGAATAGCACCAGGGAAGCGGATCACCCAAGCCCGCTCCCCAAATGACGAATCAACCAATACCGGTATCATACGAGTATCGTACTGTATGCACAGCAAATAATATTTTCCGTGACTGCTCTCGCAAAGTCCCACCCCACACACAACCCTAACCACCCACGCACACTCATACAAACACACAACGACCGACCAAATAATCGTGAAATTAACGACAAACAGCACCACTCAACGACAACGACACCGACCCATACCGTCAATATCAACCGAACTCCCCAAGAAGTAAGCGGTTCCACCTACTCCTCAATTTTTGGTTTTTATTTTCTTCCCGGCAAAGGCAGGAAGGACAGTGTTGACCTGGGGCCTTTTTTTCTCTTTGACTGAATAAGATATAAAATGCCCGAATCAGGTCACAGACGTGAGTCTCACCCTTCGCTCGGGAAATGAGCAATTTTGGACATTTTTTGCTAACTGGAAGATAGTCTATGTTAAGGTAAGAGATCGTCACCCCCCCGCTACCTCCGCCCTTTCCTTTGCGCGGTCGGTTTCGAGATTTTGGGCCTTTAGCATTGTGGCGGTGGGGTTGTGTCTAGCTGGGTTATGGGGTTGATCTAGGAAAGTGGCTCGGAGTATGGATTGCTAGAAAGGTTCCTGTTGGGGGGGCAAAAACGGTCAAATTGATGGAGGAATAACGCTTGCATGTGTGGATGGGATCAGAGGCTAATTTGAGCCTGGAGGAAATAGGCAAGACATCTCTCTTACCAGAGGGGAAAGCGCAACACCAACCCCAACACCTCTCTCGTCAAGATTGAGGGTGTGGACAGCCCCCAAGATGCTTCCTTCTACCTAGGTTTGTCAGACCCGGTACATCGTAGCTTTTAGCACCTGTTAACAACACTTTGGGCTGTAGGAAAGAAGATTGCGTTTGTCTATAGAGCCTCGCGCGAAGTCCGCGGATCTAAGATCAGGGTATATCCACTCAATACGGTATGATGGTGAGCCCATAAGCTGACATGTTTGAAGGTCATCTGGGGGAAAGTTTCCAGGCCGCACGGAAATAGTGGAGTTGTTCGCGCCAAGTAATATCCCTCTTCTACCCTTCACGGATTTACTACCTAAGGGGACTGTAATTAATGCCGGTGACCCATCTAGATTCCGCCACAACCTCCCCCCTAAGTCTTTCGGAGCTTCTCTTCGTATTATGCTGTATCCTTCCAACATTTAAATACGTCGCGTTCTGTTGGGCGAGGGAGTTCCAATAAAAAATGTTTCACTTGTATGACCTCTTTTCTTCTCTTTTTTTCTAATTTTCAGGGGGATTTTTCCCCCCTCGGCGCAAATAATGCCATGGTGAGGTGAGATGTTTGAGCACTCGCCCAAACAAAAATAATAGAATTCCTGAGATCTGGTCTCAATTTGGGAATATGGTCAATGTGATTACGCTCGCACTATACTCGAGTACTCGTACGTGCTTTTCTCCTTCGATTTCACATGTAGATTTCCGTGCCTGAGAGACATTGACCTGCGGGGAACTGAGATCATGTGCCCATAAATTGAAAGAGATCGATGATTGCAATACAATAACACTACTCACCCAGTTTAAGGTCAAATGGTTCCTTAAGGGTATCCCAACATACTGCAGTAAAATTCAAGCATCAAACATGTTTATCGTTGAGATACCTTCGGCCCCATCCTCATCCTCACCCAATCCCCAAATTTCCCTTATATTACCTATCGCAATCCCGTAAGCCTCTACTCGCGGAAGCTTAAGCTCCGCCAGCATCCTCGGAAGATCCAGACCTTCCCCCCCTTAGCAGGATCAACACTCACCCCCTCCTCCTCCCACCCTTTCTTCTTAGCAGGATTAACCCAAACCTTCCCCCCCGTTTCCACCCCAATCACAACTCTAGCCTTCGCCCTCCCCTCGAGCTCATATCGCGCAAATTTGATTGAACTCCTCTCCGCTCTAGCCTCCCCCTTCATCCGCCACAGTCCCCACCCCTCGACCACCCGAACCCCCTGCTGCACAGTCCCTTTACCGTCCAACCCAACTCCTCTTTCAACCCTGCCGAGCCCGCGATCGTGCTCTTGCGCTGCCGCGGTTTTCGTGCTCGTGGGCGGGTGGGGGCTCGGCGGGCTTTAGAGGTTTGGGTGGGTTCTCCTGGTTTTCGCAATGGGAGGGTCGGTGTAACGGAGGATGTAGGTCCTTACGTTCAAATTGTTTGAGTAATGGCAGGGGTATGTACTAGTATGTGGGAGTGGGTATCATAGTTTTTTTTTCCCCCTCTGCCTCTTCTCCCCGCGAGGTTGGCACGGGATGATAATGCTCGTACTATTCGTACAGTACCGTAGGTATATCATAGAAAGTGAATTTATTATGATACCTGTATGGTGGGGTAAATGATAATCGTAGGTTGCGGGTTACCCGGTTTGGTGGGGCTCGACACAGTACGATACCGACAAAGCTTGTTATCCACATATCATACTCACCGGGGGGGTTAACATTAATGCAGCGCAATACACTGTAGTCTACGATGTAATTGAGCCCTCACTTCGCCGCAGAACCCCGTTTACCGGGCGCAACTCAGCTCCCCACCCTCCTAACCGGTGCCCGCCTCCCATTGGGCTCCTCCTCCCCCCCTCGCACCTTCTTCCCCTCCGACCATTCACTCCCCAGCGCAGCACCTGTTCTCCCGATAAACCCCGATCTGCCCTCACTCTCTCCTCTTCTCCTCCCCGACTCCCACCCCCTTCCACCTCCTCTCCCACCCATCCCTTGCCCTCCCCTCCCCCCTCCTCTCCCTCCCCCCTTCTTCTGCCCCCCTCTCTTCCCACCCACTCCACCCAATGCCAGTTCCCTCTCCCTAAATGCCAACCACTTATCCACCGCAACCTCAACCTCCGCCTTCAGCTCCCCCAGCGGGGTATTAACACTCTCAAAAGTCGGGAACCAAGTCAGACTCCCCGTGACTCCCTTTTCCCTCCCACCCAACGCCAGCGGCTCTCCCTCCTTCCCATATCCGCGCTCACGGAGAACCTGGTAGACGACATTGCGCGTGCGCCGGCGCGCGCTGTTCCGTACCACGGCCTTCTTCGACACGCTCTTGGAGGCGGTGAAGTTGACGACGAGTTTGTGCACCAGCGTTGGGTCGTGGAATTTTGCCTGGATCTGGGCGTGGAGTGGGTGCATTGGGTTGTTCAGGATCTTGGTGTTCACCAACGCTTGTGATTTTAGGCTTTGGCGGAGGATAAAGTTTTTGGTGACATGGAAGACCGACATCGTTGGGTTGGTTGGTTGGGAGTTGTGGGAAAGAGGGAGGAGGGAGAGGTATCACAGCTTAGGCTGATGTTAGTCTATCTTGATTTCTGATCTTTTTTTTTTGCTGGCAGAACGTGAGCTATCGTTTCACCGCAATATCTTTATTCGCTTAGTAATACGCACATAGAAAGTGGCGCCTTGGCACAAATTTGTACCGTATGATGCACCCAACGAGATTAATAATAACGGACATTCCAAAACGCTTGTAAACCCGGGATAGACTATCAGCGAATCTATAAAAAATATGGGGGGTAGACTACTCGAGTACAGGTACACGGGGGCTCAACGAACAATACTCGAGCACGATGCACAAAAAGTGTCTGGGCAAACAGTGATTTTGTTTGACCTGTTTGTTGACCCCCCCACGCAGCATGTACTCGAGTACCGGTATAGATTAGTTTTCAGATCTTAATTACTCAAGAACTTGTTCCCCCAGTGTCCAAAGCTTTTCGAGAGGTGATGAACTCCGTTGAAGTCTTTTTTTTTTTTTTTTGGTTGTTTATACTTGTGGTTGCAGGTTGCATCCACTGGTGTTCAAGTTCCTAACCTCGCTCGGAGTATGATAAGGACAATTATTTGGTGGGGTGGTGATTTGCTTTATCCAGCCTGGGACGATATTAGATGAGCGACGGGCCGGTCAATTGGGATACTGTACGATATGGTACTCGTACTCGTAGGACAGTGCAGATCAATCAACCATCTGTCTTACACGTAGTGCAGTAGCACACGACCAACCCGAAATTCACCCGCCAACCCCAATTCCCTTTCCCATCCACTAATACCGGTACTCCCTCTCCCTTCCCATAGAACCCAACCTAAACTCCCCCCAGTCAAGTTCCCCTGACAGCGGCCGGCGCCGCCGTCGCCATACCCCCGCATTTGGCGCACTTCCTCAACTCCTCACACTCCTTAAACCTGTTGACAGCCTCCTTGATCTGCACGCCCAAATCCGTGCAGTGAAAGGCCGCTTCGTACACCACACTCTCACAATCCGGGCAATACCAGCGCAGGCGATCGAGGCTCTGCGGCGGTCTCTTCTGCTCAATCACTATGCCGACCTACCACCCCCCCTCCATTAGCCCCCTTTCCCATAAGTTTTAGAGTAGGCTCGTAGGGGAACACAGTACTGTGTCAGCGAACCGCACGGGATTATGCGGAATATTCGCTGGCCATCACGTCACACCACCGGTTAGAACAGTACACGATAGCCGAAGCGATACAAATGGACGCGCCATACGAGGAAGCAAAAACATGTCCCCCTCTTGGATATGCACGTCTCTGAATTTGCCGCTGTCCTCGACGACCTTGAGTAGCATGTCGCCCTTGTACTGGTAGAACCATTCTGGCGTTTCGTTGATGTGGTAGTCGTTCCGTGCGTTGGGGCCTCCAACAATCTTCGCTGCCCGTCAGTTTTGAGGGAGGATTGCGGGAGAGGGAGGGGGATGCATGCTGTACCATTACCGTCAGGTGCTCGTCGTAGACACAGTAGTTGTTGATGGGCGGTTGAAGGAGGTGAGCGTTTTCTTGGAGCCTGTGGAGTAGTTAGCAAATATAGGAAGATTGGATGGGGAGGATGAGAGGAACCATTTTGGAATGTTGAGGGGGAGGGAGAGGGCCATCTTGTTCTGTTGGAAGTTGTTTGATTGTAAATTATACGACTGCGGAACAGGGAAGTATTTATGATATACACCCCCAATTATGCAGGTTGGTGGGGAGTGGTTGTGATTGGCCGAAGGGATGAGAAGCAGTGCAGTATTGTACTCGTGGTTAATCAGAAGCAGTACTACCGTAATAGATCGTAGTTTCCGAAACTTATATAGTGAAAAAATCCTGAATAGTATCCCGGGATGCTCACCCGCGGGCAAGAATATATTATACATTAAGGGCCTGTCCGGCGTGTATCATACCAATATAAATATTTAATATAGTATGATATTCCATGAAAATCACTTATAATGGCCTGAGATGTGTGTCCAGGACACAAAGACGGGCTTTCATTTTCCCTCTTCGACCTTCTCTCGCTCTCCAAGAGTTTCCAATGTCGCAATATGGTGATCATCATATCAGTATCCATTTGTTTCAAAGGGGAGAGTGCAGGAATGTCCGTCTATGAAATACCACTCCGGAGAAGGAAGAAAAAACGGGTGATGCACATTGCACAGTGCAGTACAGTGCTGCACACATCAACCTCTCCATCCCCATTACTGGCAGTTACCGTTAAACCTTCCAGCGAGGAGGTTTGATAGACTACAGTTGTCTCGTTGCCTGTTCCCCGCTGAAAGTATGATACCGTATCGGGAATTGCTTCCAAACCCTCCACGGCAGAAGAAGTCTCTCCAAAAAATTTTATCTCCCAGATTTCCTCTTCCCATCGCTGGATGCCAATTGAGGTTTGCAGATTTCCTCCTTCTGGTGCGGTTCAACCGATCCGCTTCCTAGTAAGGGGGGGAAAGAGAGCTCCCATGGGACAATTGTTGGAATGCTGTACCACACCAGCCCATCCCACCATCCCAGGTATTTACTTGTACCATAAGTTACCGTAGGTATTCACAGTACTCGAGTACAGTACTCTCACTGCCGCACAATGCCACGCGAACCTAGTAAAGAACAGATTGTGCAAAGCTGCACTGATTAATTAGCTGCTGGAAAGATGGCTACTAAGCTAAACAATGGTTCCCATCAAACACTAATACTCTGGGTCGAGATGATAGCACTTGCAAGGGAAAGAACAACCACAAACGCAAGACAATCGTTGTGCACAGACACACCGACAAGTCCCTTGGTCCCTGAAACGGGAACGGGTTTCCACCGTCTCTCAGATGAATGAGTAGGGTTTTGATACCTCATGGGCTACTGCGCAGCATGTTATGATTCTTCTCGGAAGCAAGTGCTTTGTGGGCGCCCGGGAGAGTGTGAGCAGTATCGTACATTCTTCAACTATGGGTACTGTACAGTACAGCATCATACTGCGCCAAAAACAACGCCAACCGAATCAACGAATAATTAGGATTGGATAAAACAAGACAAAATACGGTGGTATTCTTGACCTTAGAGCAATCTACGGTAGGATAGCCCGGTTCGCCCGGGTTTGATTACCTGTGCAAGTACAGTATCACAGCGCGGGATACGTGATTAATAGCCTTGGTGATGTGGGCAGGAGGAGCAGGAGTCGATCGACCACTTGCTGCTGGTCTGTGCTGTACTCAAGTACGAGTACAGTACGGTACTGTACGGGTACTGGTACTGGTACTGGTACTGTATCATATTTGTATGTATGATAACTTAAATGCAGGTCAAGGCTTGGAGGTGCACCACCACACTTACCACCAGAATCGGAGGCAGCGTTTCCACAGTACTCGGTGCTGTATGATCTCGATCACCATTAGTATACTAGTACATCACTCCAGTAGACTACCCTACCCTACCATGGCATTCGAGACCTTTTCATGATACCAAGCCACATTTGTATAGTAACATATCGCTTGTACCATACCCCCCCTCCAACAATACTTATAATAATACCCAAACCCGGGCGGAATCCCGGACAGTGATTCCCTGAGTGAGTCCCACTTCGTACCCAACTCGCGCAAACCTGCTCGCGTCACGGGCCACAGCGGTTGCACCTTACCACCAGTACCCTACTGTATCCTTATCATGTCTCAAACATCCCTGACAATCTATTTCACTCTCACATCTCCCGGGCGCATTCATATGTTGACTTACCACTCGAGCACTCGAGTGCTAGCACAGTACCCCCTCCACCTTTTCACCTTCCACCCTTCAAACAACCACAGCGACAATAACAACAACCACCGCACATACATACATACATACATACATACATACATCCATACGATACCCACAAGCAAAGAAAAACGGAAATGGACCACTCAACCCACGATCACCATGCGCACATGATGCATGCTTCGGCAAACCATGACATGCACGCATCCCCAGAAGCACACAGGTGTCAAATGAGCATGTACGTCCCCTTCTCCTTTCCCAATCCCGTCCTCACTCACTACTGGCTAACAAACCCAGGCTCTTCACTTGGTCAACCAAAGACCTCTGCCTAGTATTCCGCAGCTGGCATGTCCACAACACGACAACCTTGATCCTCTCCCTATTTGCCGTGATCGCGCTATCCGCCGGCTACGAGTTCGTTCGTGATCTGGCGCGGCGGTATGAAGCCCGTGTTGATGGGTCGCTATCAATAAGTACTTCCCCCCGTCCCGCTCCTGCCTTGATCTACCCGGAACGGTCGGTGACAATAAAATAAAAATAAAAAAAGGTGAAGAAACGAGCTCATTACTCCCAGGACGTGCCGGTATAGCTGCGGGGACGGATGAGGTTGAGAGAAGGAGGAGGAGCGGAAGGTTTGGGAAGGCGGTGTTTTACGGGGTGCAGGTTTTCTATAGCTTTTTCATTATGTGAGTTTGCACTACTGAGGACGGAAGGGGAGGTGGGGGCTAATATGGGATAGGTTGTTGTTCATGACGTATAATGGCTGGGTCATGATTTCTGTTGCCATCGGGTCGGCTATCGGGTATACCCTTTGGGGATCCGGGGCTGCTAAGAGTGTTGCTTGTCATTAAGATAGTTGGGCAGCGAGGTGGGGATAGAAGGAGTAGAGAGGGAGAGTAGGGAGAGTAGGGAGAGTAGGGAGAGTAGGGAGAGTAGGGAGAGTAGGGAGAGTAGGGAGAGTAGGGAGAGTAGTAGGGAGAGTATGAGGGGTAGGGAGTTGCAATTCAGAATCTTTTTCACACTTGGATGTTTTTGTCAAGTCGTCGTCAAGTGATCCCACTACCCGCCACAAGTAAGGCGCGATGTGTGCCCACTCGATATTCAGTTGTGGTTTTGACGGGGCTAGGGAGTGCGTACTCTAAGTAAACTATTTAGACCATATCAGTTTTGATACCATACCACAGCCAGACCCATGTCCCCACCACCAGGATATTAATCTTCCCAATTCCCCACTTACCATACACCACCTTTCTCCCCCCCCCCACCGCCGCTGCGTCGCAGACCGCTGGGCCATACCATAAAATGTACCATACTGCACCGCAGATCCGAGAATCATCACTGTCCCTCACTCGCTCCCACCACCCATCCACTCCATCTATTCCCTCAAAATTTAATACTATAATAATATTATTATAGTATCATACATAATATCGTCCCGTAAAGGAGGGATGGGAACCAGGGACAACCGAGCCGAAACGAGAGGGCGAGTATCATACTCCTCCTCCTAGACTACCGGTATGATAGACTCCCAAATGGCCACACTTTAAGCAAACAACTGAGGGGTGGTGGGTGGGGTGATTGGACAGAACGCTCACCAGTGCCAATGTGACCCCCTACCACTCGAGTACCGGTATGATAACTTACTATAGTACTAACGTATACTATACCACATTAGTAAAACTCAAGCCAATTTGGTATGTATGCATGCACAGTACCATACCGTGTATTATTATTACAATTTTAATTATCATTACTACTTTCTCAGAATCCCGGCATCCCACCCACCATCGCCGTCCAGCCCGCTCTGGGTAACATTACCTACCCATCCATCCAAAACACGCCTCCTCAACCATGGTATGATAATCGTACAGCACAAGCAAGACACAACAAAAAAGAGATAACAAGGACTCACTCATCGGTCGACGTTTACTTCCCTCCCTAGCTCCCCCTACGGTCAGCCGCTGTTCATGAGGCTGATTAAGCAATAGGTTGGCCAGAGGCGAGCAATACTGTAATACTGTAGGAGCAAAGCCAGGAAAAGAAAAGAAAAAAAATGATAGATATCTCTCCAGAAAAAGAAACAAAAACTAAATAAATAAAAAGGAGTGCAAACGGCCCCAAACCGCACTCTACCATCCGCCCGTCCGCCTACTTCTCTCCCTCCTGCCACTGGAATTAATCAGAGAGCACCCTCCGTCAAATCCACCCTCCCCCGCCTCCGTCGTGTGCGCCCCCATCCGCAGCATCCTCCTCAAACTTCAGCGCCGGCACAAGAAGCCTATACGGCTTCGTATTGCCTGCAGGATCCTTCTGATCAACCTCCATTCTCAACACCACGTCCAGCGCGTCCCCACCAAGCCTATCGGCAACGGCTTTCGGACCATTCGTGTTTGCGCCATCCACGCCTGCCATCCTCACATTCGACAGTGGGTCCGGCTTGTTAGACTTGTTGCTGCCGAAGGTGGCCCCTTTGATCTTGGAGAAGGTCGAGCGTTTGACGGGTGGCTGAGCGGTTTCGCTGAGCGGGGCAATAGCGGCAGAGTACTCACGGATTATGGCGTAATTGCGTCCTAGGGATTGTTAGCGCATTTGCCCATGAAGATTAATATGGAGCGAGGAGGCATACTCGGCAGAAGGCGTTTGTTGTTTCGGGGCTTGCCATCAACGTCCGTGTAAAAGATAGGGCACATGTCTTCGTCAGTTTCGTGGTTGAGGTGGTGAACCTTATTTCGCTTGTTGAGAACGTCCGCCATTGCTGTATTACCACTTGCTCAGGCTCTGCCATATATATTAGGCTCAGGGCGGCTTACCATTAGGTGGTGGTGTGTTCACAATTGCGGAGGAAATGACATTCGGCATGTATCGGTGATCATTCTCCCGAGGAATATGGAGTTTAGGACTCGAAAAGAATTGGCCAATTCCAGCGAGGTGGACGTCGCCACTATCACCTGTTAGTATTCAACTCCCCAAAAAATAGACGATTCCAGCCGAAAGGACTCACCCAAGGATTGTGATTCGTACAGACTTCTCGGCGGCAAAATCTTGAAGCCTTTCAATAAACTAAACCAGAGTCAGACAATCGGGATCGTCCCTATAACGGATACCAATGAAAATAACAAACCCAGTTTCTTTCGGTTTTATGGTTTTTGGCCGTCCAATGGTCATCAAGATCATCAAGGAGCTCAACGCCACCATCAAAACTGTTGAGGAATCCTCCGAGATACCCCATACGCCCGAGAGCCTTCAGTGGGTCCATAAGCCTTGATGTCATGATATTCTCCAGCCACACGAGCCGTGGATATGCGATCGGAACTCCAAGAAGCACAATCAAATGTTTGGTTTCTCCAGCAACAACTTCCTTGGTAAGTCGTTCAAATACCAAATCGTAGCTCTCTTCTGACAGTACGATATCTCGCTTTATCAAAAGTTAGCCAATGCTCCGTGATGGCAGTCTGCCCGATCATACCATTCGCTCGGTTCGACAGTCTAAGCCTAAGAATGCGACCTTTCTTCCGAGAAACATGAAACAGCTTCTACTAAGCTCTGCGATATAAGGACCTGGAGCGCATCCTAAAACCCAACTTGGCTCATGCTCCTCTTTTTCGTCAACTATGCTCTGGTGTTGGAAGAGCATATAGTATTTGAAAGCAACAGCACCAAGCCCGGTGAATACAGGACAGCTATTGAAATGGTGGGGATAGGAACCGAATCCATCGATAATGTCGTGATCATCCCAAATATTTACCATCGCAATTTGTGAATTAGCCACTCCAAAAAGACCCTGGGAAAACCACATGCCTGATGAAGAATTAGAGCAAGGGCCAAACAAGGCAATTTACGAAAGGCCCTTACTGTATCGTTCCAGGTAGAAATACTCAAGCTCTTCGGCCATTTCTGGTGTGAACTCGTGTGAAGACTTGATAAACGGTGTCTTTATTCCTAACCATGCTTTGAAATGCTCCGTCTGTTTAGACACAGCATCGTTATAAACTTACAGGAACTCACGTCAGCGCTAAATACAGATACGGTCTAGACGAATCCCAAGCCTGAAGCCTTTCTCGGAGGGTCTGATAACATACTCTGATCTCCACCCCCAAGCATTACATGGAACGGCTTCGCCCGGTGCTCCCGGAGAACATCCCTCCAAAGAGGATCCGGTCCGCAAAGGTCATCCGGGTTAACGCTCAGACTAAATCCGTTACAACTGTGGAACATTATATTCATGGTCTGCCCCCGGGCAGGCACCCAAAACGCGATTGACGGGCCATGGTTGATACGGTACGCAATCCTAGCCTGTTCATCACCCAATTCGACCTCAACAATGAACCTCCAAAACGTTACCCCCCTCTCGGCGTGCAATTTTGTGGCTTCGACTTCCTTATACTTCCCAAGCTTCTCGCCATCATTCACTTGACGAGTGGTCACAACGTTTCTCAATAAAATATCTTCATGAGGCATGTCTTTCTCCGAAGGGAGTCCCTCGGCTGGTCTAGCGCCGAGGCGCTCTCCAGTTGTAGACGCTGTCGCCGCCTCCGCTGATGCATCACCATTGGTTTCCCCAATCTCTGCTTCAGACGCAGGTCGCGCAAATAGCCTGATAACTGGGGGCGGTGAGTAATCTGAGAGGTCATCAGTAGTAACAATCATTATTGATCCACGCCAGGTCTCTCGTTCCTCCTTTGCTGTGCAATTCTCCGAATACGTGCCGTCTCTACGCAGACCTGTGTACCGCAATAAAGGTCCACACTTGATGTTCAACTGAGGAGAGAATGTTGTAGAGGCTGGAACTGGGCGAGAAGGGATAGCCTCGAGGTAAGACAATATCAGTTCATGTTTCTTTTCTGTTTGCTCTTGTGGTATATGGGGTGCTCCGGACATCGGTTCCGCGGATAAACGCAAACCTGTCCCACCCAGACCACCCATTGGAGGAGAGTTAAGGAAAGTATGAGAATGACCGTGAGAAGTAGATGGAAAAGAAGTAGAAGAAAGATTATTCTTATAAGAAAAGCTGGTCATACCGTCACTATCTTCAGCTGTGTCATTACTCTGTGGAGCCGTATCATCGAGCTCCACATCCTCCAGAGTCAGGCGCACAACCCGAGGATCAAACACGCCCTCTCCACCGAGAGCCTGAGAAGCCCGGACATCCCCGAGGCCTCCAGAAGTACCGTCCCTCCTTCGGACGTGCTGGAACGGATTTCCATGGTGACCGTGACGACCGCCTTTCCGACCAATACGGTCATACCCAGAGATTGGTGCCGGATTCCTAGGAGTCTGATAAACAGTCTGGGGTTCATGCAATTCGTCCGCCTGAGATGGGGTATCGTAGTAACCGCCCCTTTCATCCTGTTTCTTCTTCCCTTCTTGCTTCTTCCTCTCATCCAGTTCATCCTTATGCTTCGAATGATGGCCCAACATCTCAGCGATTTTGTGTCGATGATGGTGGTGCTTGGTATCAGTCTCGGTATGTTGGTTGCTGTCCTCCTCAATCTTTGGATGTCCCTTTGCAGATGCACTAGTGGTACCCCCTCGGTTTGTAGCCCTTGAGGTGACAGTTGTGCTCCTCTGAAGACGCTCCTCTTGCTTCTTAGTAAGGGAGCGTCCTATTTGAGGCGCATCAGTTTCCTCCTGGCTAATATGTTTCAACTCGAGCTCAAGCTTCTGAAGGGGAGAACGATGAGGGGCAAACTCGAAGGAACGAGTTGACAAGGCGTTGGAAGCGGTAGAAGGTTTGCGTGATTGGGAGGATGGTGAGGCGGCCCCCGGAGGCGTAGAGAAATACCCATCCCCACTACTTGTAGCATTCGTAGCATCCACGGGCGAGCCAACCTCGCCCGGTGTTTTAGGCAGCGGTCTTCTAGTGGCGACCGGACTGGCTAACGGCGACTGGCCAGGTGACGACAGCGGAGAATATCCATAAGCAACCCCTTGGGTTTCCCCGACTTTCTCCCGTTCAGCCAGCGCGACGGATTTTGAGATTGCAGACAAGAGGGAACAGGCAGCCTATCCTACTCGAGTGGACCAAACGCGATTGGCCTATATGCGAGAAAAGGGAAGGCGGTGTATAGATAGTGGAATAGAACCGAATGTTTATTACCACGGAAGTGCTAGCTGTTGTTGACGAGCTCGTTGCAACTTTGTTGAGGCTTAAGGTGTTGCAAGAAAAGAAAAAAAATTCAACGCGTGGGAAATGCGCGCCGACGAATACCGGCAGCCGGTACTTTTTCCATCTCCAGGATCCTCCGATCCCGGCGTAACGGCAGTCAGCAGCCGGACTTCGGGAGTGATAGCTATTAAAAGCAACGTTACACACAATTCATCGAGACCCTCGCATAAAAGGGAAGAAAAATCTACGAGTACTGAACCTGTTCCAGTGCGGCACTGTAGTTTTATAGGATAACGATAATATATAAAGACTACATCGGGAAGTCACAAGCTGCAAGCTACCATATTACTGCAGCTATTACCCCCTTGTCTAAGTACCAGTACGGTGGACTACCGTATGGCATAAGACCCCTTTCTTGTTGTCGTCGGTAAGCCATAAGGGCCAGGCAATAAAAAGCGGTGAGAGCGGGGGGGTGCTGATGCCGATCCCGGTCAGAACTGGTGGTACAGCATGACCAGCTCCGTCTGGAAACACAACCCTTCTATCGTTCAACAAGAGCCCAGAAAATAGCTATCCCTTGGGTAGATGGATCGAATTCTATAGAGCTTGCATACGGTACCTCGTCCATCAATTATATTTCTTGGAAGTTGACCAAGCCAAAAGAGGAAACGGAGACCCTTCCAGGTTCACGCTTCCTGGATGCACTGTCCCGCAGCTGCTGAGATTTTAGCTATGCACAGTCCAACATTTCATAGCCTGACCTTGTACGTGTACCTCTTATCTCATACAGGAATCGCCCAAGCTATAGTGGGAGACATCTTTGACCGGGGTAAAGACGGCAATATCGAGGGATAATTTGTACTGCGCTATTACTCGATGGTGAAAACGCTTTTTGGCAAAATAACAACCAAAAGTGGGAGTTCTGAAGGTGTAGCTTCATGAATCGTAATTGGTTTTTGATCCACGATAATACTTGAGGAGAAATATGGATGTTAAAAAGTTATATTTCTATGAAAAACAATAGAATGTCGCCAGAGGTTTGTATGTGTGTAACCATCATGACTAAGTAGCAAAGCAGAGTTATAATATTACTAAGTAGGTTAAAAACATGTTTACCACTTGGATCGATCCTCAATCCTACGATGAGATTTATGAACATGGTTTTTAAACTCCTCAGTCCTGTACTTTATCCCATCTCGATATGCGTCAAGGGTTCGAAAAGACCAGTTAAAGAAACCATTGACTGAAGATTGCTGGACTGAAGAAAGTGCCTCAGGAATTGTAGCACATAAGCCATCAAGCGTATAGTCACAGTGTTCTCGAGTATACCACTTTGCCTTACATTAATAAGGCTCAATTGGATTTAGCTCGCAGTGGAATTTGGGATAAAAAATCACCCTCTGCCCCCGTGACTCCAGTTTCTCCTGCAGCAAGCCTTTTTGTTCCCGGAAATCACACTCTGCAACCAAAATCTTTTTTCCACAGCAGCCACTAGCAGGATTGCATCCAGGATGGCCTAGAGTTGTAGGACATTCAAGGTAGTATTCTCTATTCCATTTCTCCCTCTCCCAGAGAATTTGCTTTACTCCTTTAGACTTTCCAGCAAGCTTAAGCTGACAGTAGTTGTCAGGAAACTGCATAGCTTAGGGGCGACCTTTTCCATGAAAGAATCTCTCACGCATTACTGGCTGCTTGCCTCCAGGACCTTTATTGAGCTTATTCACCCAAAGTGCATTCTCATGAAAACAGCAATAGTTTGAAGCATTGTCAAATGCCCACACACCGGTAAAACTGGGAAAGGCAGATTGGAAAATTGGTAGAGCTATCTTGATTGCATGATGTACCATCTTTTCACTAGTCCAGTAATTATCTTTTCTGTACTCCAAATACTCAGTAGCAAAGCACAGAGGCAAGTTGTAATGCTCAAACTCGCTGTCCAGAATGGTTGAAGGAACTTGGAGACATCCTCCAGCCGTAAGAAAGTCTGAAACCATGATATCCTTACCCCTACCCTTTAGCCGTAGTGGTTGCTTTCCAGTCTCAATCTAAAGATAATGCTTTCCATCATTGGCATTAAAGGTGGACTCGTCATGGGTAACAAGCACATGTGGACACTCACCAGTAGGAACATCTGGAATATGCATATTCCCCTCATTATCCCACCACACAAGCAGTGGCCGAAGTTTCTCAAATTCGGGGATAAATTCTTCTTGCTGGCAGTGGACAACATCAGACCTCTCATGGCCGTCAACAAAAACATCTTTTTTTATTGCTGTCCACTCAAATCCTAGTGTATGGAGCCAGCGGCGAGCAGTACGGCACCAAATCTGTCTGGTATTTGGCCTTGACTTGGTTGTCCTTGATAACAATTTCGGTCCTGGATTCTTGCCATCTTGGGTAGGATTTGGTCCACAACTCTGAGTATCTACTAACAGATCTAACCCACAACTACCGGCAACTCTTCAGAACCAATCGCATCCTCCAAGAGCTCACTAATGATTACTCCTGCCCTCTCCGATTGAAGTTAGTCACCAACGGCTTAGGCGAGTCCGTATGCAGTTATACCCGTAGTTAAATAGTAAGTTAGCTAAAAAAAAAAAACTAAAAAAAAAAACTGAATAGGGTTTAGAGCACGAACGCTCACCAGCTCCAGCAAGATATTCTCGGGCAGCAAGCAATACTCCCTCATCATTAAACCATGATCGTGTTTTTACAAAACATCCTTGCTTGCCAGATGGTATCTCTTGCACAAAGAGCCACTTCCGCTCCCAAGATATCAGCTTCTCAGCAAACCACTTCCCCTTCGAAAAGCAGTGTAAAACCTCTAAGGCCATGTCTATTCTCTTCCTCCTTGACACATTTATTTGTGCCTGCTCATGCTTCTCTATCTTTCGTTGATAGTAGAGAAATTGCAAAACCGCCCTATGTCGTGTTAGGTCTTGTCCGCAAAGCTTAGTTTTCAAGTTCTTAGATGCAATTATTTTCTCTAAAGCTTTTATTCCACTCTCTCGGGAAAGGAGACTTGAGGCCAGAGCAGGTTTAGGAGATCCATAAGAGGTGGTAGAAGTCTGAGTTGAGATTAGGAAGCTTGATATTAATGGCTGACATCCACTGGCAGCCTGCAGCAAGCTTTAGTATTTTGTTTTTCGCATTGTAAGGCTCGTTGTTGTTTTTTTCTTATCTCCAGTAGCCAGCTGCTGATACCGGAAGACTGTTTGGGAACCGAAGTTTCCATCTATAGTTTGCTCTCTTCCAGCATGTAAAAGTACTGTAAATGCTGTCTTGTGAATTTTATTTTAATTAGTAACATGACCTTTCCCTTAAAATCTGTGAAAAGAGCCTACTCAGAAACGCAAGATGTAACTGTAACTGCAACTTTATCAAGATCATCTGTGTCAGAGATCTCAATCTCCAACTCACAACTTAAAGTACTCTCTTCTTGTCCATCCTCGGGATCGGGGGTCTGGGACACCGGCAAGAATGCTGGGTCTCCTGGGGGTAGTGTATGATGGGATTGACCTTGGCCGGTATTTGCGTAATTTGACTGAGAAAAATATGGAATTGCTTAAACGGGCACGCTTTGCCTCTTGTTTAGCAGCAATTGCGCGATTTGCATGTTGACTCTTTGAAAATCGGCCCATAGTAATGCGATAAGATGGTAGTGGATCGTCTCTAGCTTGGTAGAATTTATGAGAGCACAGGAGTTGCATGGATAAAACTTTTCATGTCACATATCTGATTAGTCATAAAATAGGCAGCTTTGAATGCGATGTCGCCAACCCTGGTCAAAGATGTCCCCCACCATATTTCTGCGGTAATTTATCGTAATCTATTACGGCATGCTTTCCCTTGTGTGGCCAAAGGTACGGGTACTATAAAAGGCCTTGCGAGCAGGCACCTGCTTTGCTAGGCATGCACCCCAAGCTTGTGCGCTGCAAGTACGCGGTGGCTCCTGATTCAGGAATGCAAATCTCAACGCATTGAAAGTCACAGTAAAGGGAGCTGCCAGAATTGCCGCAGCCCCTCGGGAAGGCTCTTTCTGAAGATAAATTATTAGCCAACCTCTAAAGAGTCTGTGGTTACCCATGTCATAACCTTGCTGTTTTCACGGCGGGAATAAACTACAATTCATAGGGTGGGTATGCTTTCGACCTCGGGCCAGCTTTGTAATAATCTTATAGTAAAACTGAGCACTTATAATGGTTGTGTATCAGTGCTGGCCCTCCAGTACCGGTACCGTTGTCTAGATACTAAATACCGCCACAAACTTTGGAGAGTTCCCCCTCTTGATCGCCAGAGAGGAAAGCTACAGTACGAGTACATTACTGTGCTCGTATGATACATCGTCTCATCTTACAAGCCACAAACTGGTCGGTTCTCACACGGTGCACTAGGGGCGGCACTTTCTGACTATTACCGTAGCCAAGCAATGATGAGAAATTTGGTACGAGCGCGGCCGATAGATATATCCGTCACGTGAAGTCAGATAAGCAAAAGCAGCATGTTGCAACCAATTTGTGAAGACTAGGAGATATCATCATTGCCATGCAAAGTTGAATGTGAGTGTAACGATCCCTCCTTGGATAGTTAGTTCTTGGCGATGGGAAACGATACTTCTCTTCTCCTTCTTTTTCTTTCTTCGTCTTACAATAGCACTAGGCCTATGCCTACGTTATCAATAGTACAAGACCTTTGTCTTCTATCGAGAACGCCTATCGTAAGCTTTCTCTAACTCTTCTTCATGACGAACTTTCCTTGACGTAACGATAACATTGCAATAAAGATAAAAATCATAAGAGGTTTTATATTTGTTAAAGTAATAAGTAGGAAAAGTACTTAGAACAAAGCATGAAGAACCTATCCTCCTCAGCCGCATCGGCCTCCTTATATAGTGTTCTTCCCGCCCATAGTCATGTGACCCAAAGTAGTCACATATGTGAAACCAAATCATAACAAACTAGTCATGTGACTAAAATGGTCACATGCTCAAAACCCAAGACCTTATAGCGAGGTCATATGCAAAAACTCATAAACCAATCATAACACAATAAACAAATCATATGACTCAACTGAGTCATATGCGTGAAACCCATGACCTCATAACGAGGTCATGTGCGAAACATAAATCATATGCATATGGCATACCCACAAGGCACACTCGCAAGGCATACTCGTCAGGCGCACATCCTATAACTCATATTTGAGCCATGTGTGAAAGCATCATAAATCCCACACATAACAAATCATATGACTCGAATGAGTCATATGTGTGAAACAATAACATACCTGTGACTCATAACCATGTGTTACGTGAAAATCTTTTCCTCGCCAAGCTACATTCGTGACAGTGAGTACTTGTTATTGTCACCGGAAAGACTCCACTTGCCTATTGAGCCAATTCTGAAACCAAACCTCTCTCTGATTTCAAGCTATAATCTTCCAATTTATCAATATAGGCCAAATAAGAGAAGCAACAGAGATATTTCTGGAACTTCAATGTGCAATCCTCACCCTCCATATTTTTACCATCAAAACCTGGATTGAGATTTCACAATACTTGAAAGTTTATCCTGATTCTGTACACAAAATTTGTCAAAAGGCAAAGGTAATCATTTACAATCTAGTATAGTATCTGTAAACTAAAATCACCTTATAATTAGGAAAGAGCAAGTAACCTGACCGACATTTAAGATCTCTATGCTATTTTAAAGAGTCTTGACTGTCCTGGCTATCCTAAAGTCATCCCTGAAGGTTCAGAAATGTTGATTGCTCTCAAGAAAGTATCACAAGATAGTTTGGAAGATTATAAAAAACTGTTTCTGGAGTTGGCAGCAGACTTAAGCATTAAGGCTGCTCATTCCATAATCAAACATGTGATGCATAATTATCACTATATCTATCAATTTCTGCCTAGGCAGCCCAAGTGCTCCCTGAATGCAGGACCTAAAAAGGACTAAATGAACTTTTCCTTTTAGGCTATGCAAATAGATTCTAAGTAAATCCTCTTAATGTTAATGGGGGGTTTTTTTTTCTTTTTCAAATCAATACTTGAACATTATAGATAGAAGATATATAATAAACTAATATATACTAATAGATACTTTACCTACTGTAATGAAACTTGGATATAAATTGGACATCCTTGCCATCCACCAAATATCTCTTGTTTTCGTAGATCAAACCCCTTTGATTATAATACTAATCATTTTAAGCTAACTGGTATTCAGATCATGCTTTAGGCTTATATGGCTTACAGTTATCGTGGTCTCTATTTTGTTTGGAAAAAAGAGACAAAATAGGAACATGACCACTTCAATGAAGTAGTTGAAAGTGAGAACAAGGGAAAAAGGCAAAGGTAGGAGGATAGAAGAATTAGTGTATGGATTGAGGGAATGGAGGAATTTGCAATTTTGCAAGCTTTGAATACTAATATACATTATTTAGATAAAACTAACCCACTTTCTTCTAGATACCCATGGTAAAAGCAACATCCTCAGTGGGAGTTTAGGGAGAATATTAAAGAATGTGGTGATAGGAGTAAAGGAAGGATTGACTAGATACTCTACCGGGAATATATTTTTTTTTTTTTTTTTTTTTTTTTTATAATCTTATTTATTTATCCATTTTAACGAAAGTAAGGCTGGGAATCATATCAGCTTTTGCCATGCAGACTCGCACCTCCACCCCGCCTTGTTCTCAAGCAGCCAGAAGAAAAACTGTGACCCCAGAAAGGCACATGCCAGCAGCCAGGTGCCCGCCCCTAAGAGCCCACGACTTGAACGCGGAGGGGTCTCGCCTAGAGCCACCAACACCCAACCAGCCCTCGGTTTAAAAAACTCCCCCGCAAGTCTCCCCAACGGCTATCTACAAACGGTAAAGACAGAAAGTCCAGAAACCCATCCTTCAAAGCAAGGAAAAACCCCCATCTCGACAGTACACCCCCCACCGAACAGAAGAAAACCCAATCCAGAGTAACCCTAAACCAAAGGCTGAAACCAGTCCCTCGCCTACAACAACCAGATACCAACCCAACCCGTGCCCCTTGCTTGGAACAAACCAATGGCCAGGCCTCACCTGTGAAATCAAAAAAACGAATAAGTGCGCTGTATAGTTGACATAAACATATGTCTTGGGCATATAGCCCACGGTCGCAAGCAGGAGAAACCGAAAGGAAAGAGTGCCCGCTATAAGCAGGAGGTATTGGCAGAACAAGAGCCCCAAGCTGTCCGTCTGAGAGGGCCGAAGGGGCTGCCCGAAGCAGCAAAAGAGGGAGAGGTAGTAGGGTACCAGCCGACAGTACTAGGGTACCAGCCGATGCGACCGAAGAGAAAAAAGGGAGAAAGGGCCCAAGGCCCCAGTGCAGACCCAATCGAAACCAAACCTGCTGTATTACCGCGTCTCTCATGTAGCCCCTTGTTCTCCAAGAGATAGTGTCACTTAGTGGAAGGGATTCCACCGGCGGTAGAGAGGTGGAAGGGCGAGGTGAGGACGGCAACCAAACTAGAACCGAGTAACTAGGAGGATATGGTCAAATCTCACCTCGAGACAGACTCCAAAGTTACTAGCCGAGGCATTCCTCAATGGGGATCGTGCAAGTGGGGAGAAGGACGTCTACCACTGCCAGCGCCGTCCAGAAGCGAAGAGAGGAAGCCGACCGTGCCAAAGCTAAGCGAGCTCCTATTAGCAAGACAGGAGTACTGGGCGAGCCCAAATAACTCCCCCATCAAGCAGACAAGAGACAAGCGAGGCCAAAGCAGGAGGGTATGGAAGAGTTAACCGTGCCCCTAGGCAGGAACCATCGAGGGGGCAGAGGGGAGTTGGGGGGGCCCACAATAGTTGACGTGGTGTTGCCAAACTATGTGGGAGGAAAATAGAAGCGACAGAGCATGTACCGGGAATATATTTTACGCCCATTATTTTATCCATTCATTCAAAGGGTAGAACAAGAGACTGGATAAGAAGTATGAGCAGTAGATAATAATACTCCTGCCTATACCACATTAAAAGACTTGGAAACAGAAGAGCATAAAAAACTTATAATATGTTCTGTAAACTGGCCTGCACAATCTCATAAGCTTAATAAGATAGAACCACTGTGGGACTTTCTTAAAGATTCACTTGAGGAGTACCAGTTTCAAGGACAAAGTCAAAATACAAAAGAGCAGGTAAAGTAGGCTCCGATATATAAGTGGAGAAAGATTCCTATTGATTTAATTAATCGTTACTGTTTGGATCTTCCAACTAAGTTTAAACAAGTTATCAGAAATAAGGGTAATAATAACTTTCATGGTTAGCTTCATGATATCTTCTGTTTTCTTCCTTTGGTTTTTTCTTTCTTTCTTCCTTCCTCTTTCCTGTAACAGGGGAGACAGGTATCGTGTGTTGTGTATTTGGCTAGGAGAGTCTGCAGGAAATGTGTTTGTTGCAGTGCGCTGCTTTTGCTTATCTGACTTCACATGACGGATATATCTATCGGCCGCGCTTGTAATTGCACTTTGATCAATACGAGTACAGAACCTCGTTTTGCAATACCGAGGGAGCGGATACATTTTTCATCTGTTGAAGGCGGTGGCCCAAAGCTCCCCACCCCAGTATCGATGGAATATAATGGTTTTTGACCATTGCTGCCCTAACTCTATCGAATTGTTTCTTATTTGTGGGTACCGTATAGCAGATTATGATACCGTGATAATAAGTCGACCTATCCAGGTTGTCCCTCGAACACTTTGGTAGGGAGTGAGTGAACAAAGAATCGAGAAGGCCACACAACCCTGTAACTTATTTTGGGCCCTGTAGGAAGCACAGAAGTGTCGGCTCCAGCTAGCCAGGCTATCTTTCTTCTTCTTCCGAGGTCTATCGCCACAACCTTGCTTCCCCTGGAAACTCCCATAACCTCATGAATACCTCGACCTTCAAAGAAACAACCCACATATCATCACACCTTTCACCCTCCTCGGTAGTTCGCTCCGTTTCACTAGTAGTGAGCTCCCTCGGCTCACACTGATTTCCGCTTCGCGATGCGCTTCGGCTCGGCCCCTTTATGGTTGGCTGTACTGCAAATCATACCTTTCCCTACTGTCTCCGCTAAATCACCCCCCTTGTTACGGCCTCGAGACTATGACTCGCGAGATTACTACGCGCTGCACTTAACCCCGGATGTTTCGCCAAAAACCGTAGCACTGCAACTCGGCCTAACTCACGAAGGTGTCATTGGCGAACTCAGCGACCATCATCTATTTTCAACGCCAACCAGCAAGGAAGATGTTGTCGCCATTCATATCGATGGGCTCCGGCGAAAACGGCGGTCTGTGGGATCCGGGGGTATTGTGAAGCGGGATCTGTCTGATGGAATATTGTTCGCGGAAAAACAAAGGCCGAAGAAACTTGTGAAGCGGGTTCCTCCACCTGCCGCGCGGCGGGAGGCACAGGGGTTCGACCCCGCCGCTATTACAGGTAATACAGGAGTGGTGGAACTTCAGTCGATCATGCAACGTCTTGACATACGGGACCCCATATTCCACGAGCAATGGCATCTGGTAAGCTACTCCTTCAATGATTTGTTTTATCCCGTGGCTAATACACCGCCTGTTTGCTTAGTTCAACCCAATAGAACGTCATCACGACGTTAATGTTACTGGCTTATGGCTGGAAGGTTTGTTTATACATCCCTAATTCACATGTCTGGGGTTTCAATCTTATTTCTACACAGGTATAACTGGAGAGAATACGACTGTGGCTATAGTGGACGATGGCCTTGATATGGACAGTCAAGATCTAGCAGCAAACTATGTGGGTAACCTCCACTGAGGCCATTAGTATCAAGAGATCATAGTGCTTACGCCCTTCAAAAGTTTGCAGCAGGTTCCTACGACTTCAATGACCACGCCCCTCAGCCTAAACCGCGTCTATCCGACGACCGTCATGGTACTCGATGTGCTGGCGAGATTGCGGCTGTAAGGAACAACGTCTGTGGGGTGGGTGTTGCCTATGATGCGAAGGTGGCTGGGATACGGATGCTGTCAAAGCCTATATCAGATGCCGACGAGGCTATAGCCTTGAATTATGCCTATCACGAGAACCAGATTTATTCTTGCAGCTGGGGACCACCAGATGACGGCCAGGCTATGGACGCTCCGGGAATTCTCATCAAACGGGCCATGGTTAAAGGAGTTCAAGAGGGCCGAAATGGAAAGGGTTCAATATTTGTTTTCGCCTCTGGAAATGGGGCAACGTATGAAGACAACTGCAATTTTGATGGTTACACGAATAGTATCTACAGCATAACAATCGGAGCTATTGATAGAAATGGCAATCATCCATACTACTCCGAACAGTGTTCAGCCAATATGGCTGTTACATATAGCAGTGGCAGCGGGGATGCTATTGTATGTGCAATTCCTGGGTTTAGTGCAAGAGATGAGACTAACATATGATGGCTACCTCCTAGCACACCACCGATATAGGACCGAACCAATGTTTCAATGGCCATGGCGGAACCTCCGCGGCTGCTCCATTGGCTGCAGGAATCTTTGCTTTAGTGCTGTCGGTGCGGCCTGGCCTTACATGGCGTGACATGCAGTATCTTGCTCTCGAGACGGCGGTCCCCATCAATGAAGAAGACCCGGACTGGAAGCAAACGGCAATTGGCAAAATGTTCAATCACAAGTATGGTTATGGGAAAGTTGATGCATGGGCAATTGTTCATGCTGCCAAAGATCATAAACTCGTGAAACCCCAAGCGTGGTACAACTCACCTATTGTCATTGTCAACGCAGCCATTCCAGAGGGCACTCAAGGGCTCCAGACTCAGATCAAGGTCACTGCGGAGGAGGCAAGAAATGCGAACCTCGGCCGACTAGAGCATGTAACCGTCACCATGAATGCTGCCCATAGCCAGAGAGGCGATATGAGTGTAGACCTGATCTCGCCAAAGGGCATCGTTAGCCACATCGCAACAACCAGAAAACCGGATACTAGCAAAAACGGATACAAAGACTGGACATTTATGAGTGTTAAACACTGGTACGACTCTCCCGTTATATATATCTGCTCAAACGAGCTAATTTAGGCATAGGGGGGAGGAAGCAACGGGTACATGGACAATTATTATAAAAGACACAGTTGTTAACGGACAGACCGGATCTCTTACCGATTGGAGCCTTACACTCTGGGGTGAGGCCATTGATGCGGATAAAGCTAAACCTTTACCACTCCCGGGTGGTGACGGAGATAAAAACCTGGGTACTGATCCCATTCACACCACTACCGCTCAGGCCTCAACAACCGAGTTGCCAAGTATGACTTCGACAGCAAATCCTTCAAAGGTGACGGAAAATCCTTCCGACCACGCTGATCGACCTGTCAACGAGAAACCAGGCAGTGCGGCCACCTCTACCCAACTAGGAACTGGTGAGTTAGCCTGCGATTTATCCTTTTGTTCTGTTGGGTAAATGATAACTGACCATTTGAAAGGGACAACCACCGGAACCACAACTGCTACTCCCACATCAACAGCTGCACCGGGGGGTCCGGAAGCAGAAGCCGAAGAATCAAATTTCCTTCCTTCCTTCTTCCCCACCTTCGGCGTGTCAGCCAAGACTCAGGTTTGGATCTACGGGGCATTTGTGGTGATAATTCTATTCGTCGGAGTTCTTGCTACCTACCTCTCCATCCAAAAGAAGAGAGCCAAAAAACAGGGGATGGATTACGAGTTTGAGGCTCTCAATAACGAGGATGACTTGGAGAGTGGTGCAGCAGGGGCTGGCGGAAAAGCTTCTGCGGGTGGCAGACGAAAGGCTAGGGATCTATATGATGCATTTGGAGCTTCGGACGATGAGGAGGACATTTTAAGTGAGAAAGAGTACGATGACGATGAAGGGTCTTACGATGACGACGAAGCTCTGGGGATTGATGAGGGTCCGAGAGTAGGGGATAGAGCTAAACTCCTTGGTAGAGATAACTATTAATTACACGAAGGTATTTGTGTCGGTGTTATTAGTGTTTGTGTTTTTTTGGATTTTTGCACCTATTCTGTTTCTGCGAACACTTACCATGTATGTCTATGAGTTGGACTCGTTTGTTTACTACCGGGCTGTTTTCACTTTCCCTGGCTTAAAAATCTGTTTCTCTACTAAAATTCCCGGTTGAAGAGGATCCCTTTAGGAAGAGATCTTGGCGGAACATTACGGGTGCGGCGGGTGAGCCGAAGAATTATACAAGAAAATTCAGCTAGAAAACATGATATCTATGCGAATACCGATAGAGCATAGAGCATTGGACGGAAGAGCATCAGTGTTGACCGATACCCGTAAGCCAAAGGAGTGGCAAAGGCTTGATTGTACTGTACTCGTACGAGCATGATACAGTATGATACTGCAAAACCTACCGAAACGTCCCTCTGAGAAAGAAGGGGAAAAGAAAAGGGATCCACAACGATACGCACAAAGGGCACTTGCTATCACTCCCGGCTGCTAGAGTGCTCGTAATAAGCCCGGAGCGAGAGGGAACACGTAGGTAGTTACCGGCTATCAATATACGAGTAATACCTGTACGAGTACATTTGCTACCACTCCTCCCTCTTCGCTTAGGACCTGTTTGGATGTTTAGAGATTGAAATATATGAGATTCGGGATCCATGGATTGCAGAACAGAACCCGGTGTTTTATTTTGTTGGTGGCTAATCAAAAATATATATACACAGTGAAACCTCTGCTAACTCCACCCTCCGATATATCCAGGGCTCCAATATTTCTTGTAGGGAGACGGGTCTTGTTCTATGAGCTTTCCCCCTCTAACCTCTAGGGTTCTATTAGTTCCTCTTTCTAAGCTGTAAATGTTCCTAAATTCCAGGTTTTGTTAATGTAAAAAAAAAAAACTCCCCATCATATACCTCAATCAACATGATAGGGGTTGATTGTGTGTGTGTATTTTTAGGACAGAATCAGATCCATAAACTGGGCGAAATACATTGTTCTTCCATACGAGCAAGTTGGAAAATAAGGTCTGCACCTATCATGAATTATCACTCATTTTCTTTTTGGGCACCCCCTCTTCCGCCAAGCATATTCCCTACTTTCCACCCCCCTGTTACTTCCATGAGATCAAGTCTCCCGGGGAGCTGGAGATAACGGAGGTTTCACTGTATATCGTTGGTGGAAATTTTTGGGATGTGCTGGGTACAATTGAAGACTTAGATTAAGGTAAAAAGTATGATACAAGTGTGCTTGCAGTGCCGCTCCGGGTCAGAGGTTCAATCAAATTCATTACCCTGGCACCACCGAACCGGCGGTATACAGAGGTGAAAGGAAACATAACACTGTGGAAATCAGAAACCCAGACCAGTTGCATTGCTGCTTAAGTACCCCCAGTGGCGAGAATTTGAGATTCTGAAGGGCTACCCAGGCTGTAAGCAATCAGCATGGAACTGGTCTAGAGTACTAAGCCTGGTTTCACGGTTCTTATCATACCTTACACTTGCCCAAGCATCCTCCTCCTGTTTGTAACATAAGATAATCTACCCACTCAGGGTTTCTCATGTCAACCAGAGCTTGTTTTTTTGCCGCTAATACTAATACTGACCAACTGCCTACTACTCGTACTCGTACCCCCATAGAATCCCGTTGATCCCTCCCCCCCTTCCCTCACGACCGTGAGTACGATCCCAGGAAAAAAAAGGGGGGAAATCTTAAACCCGAGCTATGTATCGCCCGCCACCTTTGGGTCTTGCATACCCCCCCAACTCACCCTTATAACTCGGGCCGGGAGTTGATTCTTTTGAAACATCTTTCTGTATGCTAAACCGCCAGCCTACTTTGTATCAAAGTATAGAGAGGAAGCTATGATAAAGGATGCCGTTGGGAAAACCTTAGAAGTTCAAAGCTGAGCATTACCTATATGCAGGAATTGTGTGGGTTGGGGAGTTCCCCCATCACCGCAGCTATGCCAAGTTTTCCGGATACTTTTGGAATGGGCAAGTAAGGTACAGTACTTCCACATGCAGTATATATACTAATCTCAATCATTTCCTCCCGGGGCCCAGTGGTTCCCTGTTCGTTTTGTTCGTCTTACTCGAGTACCGTTAGTTTCTGTAGTGAGTTCAGTGTTGGGCTGCGAGGTCGGTTTGCCGACGGTAAGTGTTTTGCTATCATAGCCTAATTTATGATAGTAACCCTGTTCTGGCTGCTCCCCGCAGCACCATAACGCACCCCACATGTAACTTAAACAGCAGGGATTCTATTATGATATCAACAAAGCCCTTTTTGGCCGTCGCTGGTGGAAGGGCCTGGATCTCGCTGGGTATTATTTACTTTGTAAGCAGGAACCAGCCATCAGAACACAGAAGTGTTTTTTCTTTTTTTCACCATAACCATTACCCTACCACCGAGAAGGAGAAAAAAGGAATTCAGAAACCCAACCAATCGTTTTTTTTGTGGTGTTTGGGTTGGAATGCTTACCCCTCGTCCATGAAAGTGATGGCATGCCCGCACGAAGTCTTTGTGTCGTTCATGGGCTAATGGTATTCGAGAGGGTTTTTCTCTTGGTAATCTCGGACGGTTCAGTAATTTTTTTTTTGTTTATCTTGTACTCGTACTGTGCTCGAGTAATTATCACGTCTTATGTTGCTGTTGTTGGTACTTTACTCTTTACCTTGCTTTCCGTTCCCAATCTCATTTTGGTTCTTGTCTCTCTGCTCGAGCACTGTGATGCAGGTAGGTGCCGATACTGTACTCGAGTACTCGGGGGTACAGTTGGAGTTACGGTAGTGGAGTGGACGACATGCAGTGGCTGCCGCTAATATGCCGGTACTGGAATTGATTCAAGTGTGATCATTGAACTGGTTACAGTACAGTGCATTGCTGATGTCCCCAGTTACCGTATTAAGTTGCTTGTAATACTGTAGCATTCTTTCCATGGTCTACATCAACACTAACTCAAGTATCATATCATAACTGCAAAGACAGAGGAGGACCGTAGGAAGAGGAGACGGTGGTATATATCAGAGATCCACTCGGTCCCCTCCTTTACAGCTCCGAAATCTAAGCCGTCACCCCCCCCCCCCAACACTCACGTCCCACGGAACGTAAATCCACCGTGGCAGCGCAGGGGGCGGTCTCGTCAAGTTGAGGCAGCAGCGAGCGAGTTGGTACTTATCATGGAATTACGATGTGCCGTACGCATCATTGTCAAGATCCGCCCGTAAATGACTCTTTCTCCAGTTCATTGATTATTGCTTCAAGCCTGTCTCATGAGTTGGTAACTGGTAATCGGATATTAGAAGTTAGGAGGGTAATAGCGCTAGGGTGCCTTTCAATTTAATAGACGGCGGATCCTAGCCTTTCCAGAGTCAAAAACGGACATATATTGTAAACGTAGACACTCTTGTGCTTTGCAAAACACTTGAGAGGCGGAAAAAACTGGGGAAAAAAAAAGATTCTAGTGTCTTGGTCTATAAGACACTTTCCAACGGCTTTGTGACGATCTCATATTCTGCTGGCTTTATCAGCAAAATGTGGTCTAGAGGCGTCCCGATCGCCAATGAATTACCCAAAGAGGGCTCTCCTTGGCTCCTGTTTTCTCCGTTTCTCAAGTGTTTTTGCGGAGAGCAATAGTATTATTATGCACGATACAAGTACCAACAGCCAGTTTATAACTGCTTTAAATTTGTATGTTTTTTTTTTGCATCTCTTTCTCCTTCTTTCCCCTTTCCTTCCTTGTCTCTCTTACGGGTATCCCTTGCCTCTTGTCCATACAGTATTTTCAAGCGTAACCCATCCATTCAGAGCCCCCTCAACCCAACAGATACAAGTACTCGTACAATTGGTCCAGTGGTCCAGTGGTGTACTACCGGTACCCCCATTCGCTCACCTTCTTCATCCCTCCCTACTTCCCTCGGCCGCTAGAAAGCCAGTCAGGACGCGAGGCAAGCATTCTACTCGTACTCGATTTGTCCTCCTAAGCTTTCTTCTTACGCCTCGCACGCCTTGCGTACGAGCACGACCGGACTTTAACTTACGCTATCATACCTTCACCCCCCAACAAACCCTACCTTACCCTTCCTCCTTCCCTTCTCCACCGCTGAGTCTCGATCCAGCCCATGACCTTCCATCACTCAGCATTTTTCCTCGCTTCTTCCTGAATTTGTTCTCTCTTCTTCTCCAGAGACTTTGGCCCTTATAATATAAGGGTTGGTCCGGTCCCTGACTACTTTCTAACCTTTCCCCTTCCATATTTCTTCTGTCGACCTTTAATCCATCAAAGTCATCCTCCTGCAACCCTTTCACCACGTTTTCCTCCCGCTTCACCAGATTTCGCTCATTGCCCTCGCTTGGCATCCCTCTCTTCGCTGCTGCTTCAATCAACAAAAAACATCAAGCTTCAAAAACAGTCCTTCAAACAAGCCGTGCCATGCACAGCAAAGTAGTCAGTAAGTTTTTTCTCTTCCCCCTCATTCCACTCATTATCTTACAGGTAGTTTCCGTCCATATGTGCTGACATTTTCCTTCCCTTCTTTATAGTTATTGGGTATGAATTGGCCGATTACCCCGCCATCATGAGATTAACCCCCCACTAATTTCATTACCCATCGATTCAGGTCCGGCCCAGCCGCCCATACCGCTGCGGTATATCTGGCTCGTGCAGAATTGAAACGTTCGTAGCCACTCGCACTTACTTGCAAGATATGGCGGCTGGCTGACATCGCACTCTTGATATAGCTATTATGTATGAGGGGATGCTTGCAAATGGAATTGCACCCGGTGGACAGTTGACGACAACTACTGACGTCGAAAATTATCCGGGCTTTCCTAAAGGCATTGGTGGCCAAGCGCTTATGGTAGGTTCTCACGCGTTGGTTTTGTTAGCATGGAGATTTCTTCCCCAGTCCATGCCCCTTTTTCTTTTCGGGCGTTTTTGTCTTCGACGATGTGACAACTAACTCAGATATATTTGGATAGGAGGCTATGAGAGAACAAAGTGAACGATTCGGAACCACAATAATCACGGAGACCGTTGCAAAAGTTGACCTGTCGAGACGACCATTCAGATATTGGCTTGAATACTGTGAGGAAGAAGATCCGAATACGGCCGATGCTTTGATTTTTGCTACTGGTGCCTCGGCCAGGAGATTGCACCTGCCCGGAGAAGACACATATTGGCAAAATGGCATTAGTGCTTGTGCTGTATGCGATGGTGCTGTGCCCATATTCAGGAATAAGCCATTGGCCGTTATCGGAGGAGGAGATTCAGCTGCTGAGGAGGCCATTTTCCTGACAAAGTATGGAAGCAAGGTCACCGTCCTTGTGCGAAAAGACAAACTGCGTGCTTCCAACATCATGGCCAAGAGACTCAGTGCTCATCCCAAGGTTGAGATACTCTACAACACGGTAGCGACCGAGACAAAGGGGGATGGCAAGCTCTTGCACTCACTTGCCATCAGAAATGTTGTTACTGGTGAAACTCGTGACCTCTCGGCAAACGGTTTGTTTTACGCTGTTGGGCATGAACCCGCTACCGCTCTTATCAGGGAACAGATGGATTGTGATGAGGACGGGTACATCATTACCAAGCCTGGAACCTCATACACTAGTGTTAAGGGTGTCTTCGCCGCTGGTGACGTTCAAGATAAGCGTTACAGACAGGCAATTACCAGTGCGGGTACGTATTCCAGTTGCATTAGATTTCATCTTTCATGTACCTCAGGCTGATCAATTCCGATAAGGATCCGGATGCATCGCGGCACTTGAGGCCGAACGGCTATTAGCAGAGGAGGAGGAAGCTCTAGAACCGATGTAAGGCCCCGGTTTCAGAATTATCTAGTTGTGTTTTGGAGTTTGGATTGTCCTAAGTTACTGATTCATAGAACTTTCGTCGTATCACTAGTGTCGAAACAAAAAAGAGTGAGGTTAACGGCATCGCCCCACAATACAAAACTAATCCTATGATTTAAGGTGGGCTGGGTAAAGTCGGCCTGCTTGTAATTCCCTGGTGTTTGTGCCTTAATTGGGTCTTTTAAGTTCTGGTGTGCCGCGACATGGCCAATAAAAAAATTTCCTACAGGTACATAGTTTCGTATTGATTTAGGACGACAGTGTTCCTCCGCATTTTCCATTGAGACAAGACCTGGGGTGGGTAATTTTTTTCCATATCTTTTTCGTGTATTCTTTGGCTCCTCGATTCTCTTTCCTTACGGTTGGGCTTCTTTCACATTTTTCTTCCCTTTCACGATTTAATATAAAGTTTTAGAACGTACTGTAGACGAAGATTGGGTTTATCATCGCGGATTGTGTCTTACACCTGTAACTAAATATCGAACTACCTTGCACACATTGCTATTAATGATACGCCACCGCATGCCCCTATCTATATTCTCCGCCCCTATCAAGTACCGGTACTCGAGTACTCGAGTACACTACCGCAACCACCTACCGCCACAGGTCGGAGTTAACTTACTGTAGTACTCCCGCTAATCTTTAAGTTGACTTTTTGGAGTGGCGTGCTTTTCCCGTCTAGTCCGGTCTAATCCTGGTCTGTCCGGTCTGATTTGTTATGCGCTGGGAGTTTCCGGGGTTGTTATATTCCCACGGCATAATACTCGAGTACAGTAAAGCAGTCAGTCGTGCAGTGGATACCCGCCTGGGGGAGTGAGTGCCGTGTGGCATGGTACCGGTATTAAGCTGACACCGGAGGGCGAGGGCGAGGACGGGGGCCACCGGGAGAGAGGGAGGGTTGTCATGTAGAGGTTGTACCACCTGAACCGACTGGATTAATGAGTGGTGGATGGTTCCCAGCAGGGTGCCAGTATGATACAGTATATGATACACGCAAGGTGATTGATTCTCCAAGTCCCATTTTTTCGAAAGTGAGTTTGTCGCATGCTGTTGATATCACTCGGTTTTTTGGTGCTTTAATTTTTCCTCCCGTTGGAGGGCTCCGAGGTGTTGTAGAATTCGGCATGATACGGGCTGGTGCGTCTGAGGTTCTTCCCTTCTACCTCTAGGACTCCTGTTTGGGGGGTGAGTTTTGGATTGATGGAATGATCGACGCTGCTGGTCTCACTCAGTTTCTGGCGCTGTGTTCGGTGAGATTCTTGGTTGATTGGCATCCTTTTGGTTTATAGGATGGGTGTGGTGTCTAGTTAACTTTGTGCAGTTTCGCGGATGCTCAGGAGGTTGTGTGAATGAATGGATACTCTGCTATGACTAAATTATTCCACGCACTAATCATGTTAATAACTACTGGTATCATAATAATAATAATATTATTATTTAAAAGAGAACACAGGAGGAAGTGAGTGACATCTCGTGCCGCATCTAATCAGATACGATAGGGCACCCTCATCCTCGCGTGTCACTAACTCCCGAACCTTGGCAACTCATGCAGCCCTTACACCTTCTTCCGCCGACTTTGCTTACCACACCATACTTCCTTTCCCGCCCAACCATCCACGACCAACCGCAACCAATCAGTCCCCATCACATCGCATCAATCCTTCAACGAGCCCAGGCGAAACAAAAAACACTCGAGGTCCGCAAAGATTCAGAGAAAGAAAAGGAGTAACTTCATCATGGACGCAAAGATTTTGAAGGGTACCAAGTTCCCACCGGAGTACTCCAAAAAGGTTGATATGGGGAAGGTGAATTTGGAGGTTATGAAGCAGTGAGTCCTCCTCTAATTATTCAATTATTGGTTTTTTTAACAAGTATTGGAAGGAGGGGTTGTAAGTTGCGATTTTGCTAATGTAAATGCTTTTTTTCTTCCCTTTTCCAAAGGTGGATTTCCGGCAAGGTCATAGAGATATTAGGGAATGAGGATGATGTCGTTATTGATTTTGTATATTCGCTTTTGGAGGAAGAGAGGATTGTTTGTTGGCCCTTTCTTGCTTACTTTCGCTTCCCCTGGACTTGCTGTCTTCGCAAAGGTAGCTAATGTGGTGGTGTTGGCGGTGATAGCCTGATCCGAAGAAGATACAGATCAACCTCACGGGATTCCTGGAGAAGGATACTCCTGCGTTCTGTAAGCAACTCTGGGGGCTTCTGTTAAGTGCTCAGTCGAATCCGCAGGGTGTGCCGATGGAGTTGTTGGAGAAGAAGAAGGAGGAGTTGCGTCGCGAAAAGGTACGGGTTTTTTTATCTTTCTCTGGCGTTATAGAGGTGGGATTGCTGATTATGATGGTATAGGCTGTGGTAGAGGAACGCACAGAGCAGCAACGTCGCAAGCGTGAGGAGGAGGAGGGGCGAGAACGCGAGATTGCTAACGTCCGTGAACGTGAACGGGATACCCGTCGTAGAGTCCCGCTATCGACGGCAGGAGCATCACCATCATCGAAGGATACCAGGGAGAGAGGAGGAGATAACTATGTAGCACGTTCCCGACCTCTCAGCCCCCGCCGTCGCTCCGCGGACAGGTCAGACCGAAGGGAAAGGCGCCCCCCACATCAACGGGGCGGGGGACGTCGTGGAGGAGGAGGTGGGGATAGGTTCAGAGGCGGAGAGACAGACACGTACATTCCGTCACGCAGAGGTTACAATCGACGTGATTTTGACAACGGTGAAGACAGGAGCTACAACAGATATGGTCGTTCCCGCTCGAGATCTCGGTCGCGGTCTCGTGGCGGACGGGACGAGTACCGTGCCAGACGCCCTTCCCCGCGCTACTCAAATTCCCCGGATACGCGCAGGAACAGTGAGCTGCAGCACCATTACCAGCGACACCGGTCCCACACTCCGGATTACGGCAGAGGAGGTCGGAGAAATCATAGGGATAGAAGACGGGGTAGCGTATCTTCCCGTGATCCTTCCTCGTCTAGGTCTTCCTATGCGTCTACTAAGTCTCCGTCGAGGTCTCCTCCCCCCAAGAGAGAGAGAGGAGGGAGTAGGAGGGAGCTTTCCGCTTCCAGAGATCGTGTGGATCGGAGAGAGAAGCGGTCTTCAAGAGGTTATGCTGAGGAGACAGATAGCTGGCGTCGCCGTCGTCACGAATCGGAGGAGCGGTCCGGGCGGGATGCCCGCGCATCCAAGAGAAGGCGATCGCGGTCTTCCGACAACGACGACAACAAGAATAACAAGAATCGTCGGGGTTCGCCCCCGCGCACCCGGGACAGACAAGCGAAGAGTTCTACCGCTACCGCCGCTGGCACTACCAGAGTAGTGGAGAAGGAGGTTGGGAAGGACAAGGAGGTGGGTGATAGCTCAATTATTGAAACTCCAGGTGCGAAATAATGACCCGAGGCATCAGTTGACGCCTCAGCAACGAGAAAACCAGCTACGTGAACAACTTCTCCGGGAGAAGATCAAGCGGTCGAGACAGAATAGTGGGAGTAATGGGAGTGGAAAGGGTGGTATTGAGGGGAAGGACCGAACCGACTGATTGATTTATTGATGAGTGTTTATAGAAGGATTCTGGGAAGCGAAAATGAAAAATTTCTGTTTTTTCTTTTCTTTTCTTTTCTTTTCTTTTCCTTTCTTTTCTTTCTTTTTACGCCGTGATCTTCTCTACTTCTTGATCAATCATGGGAAGTTTATACAAACTTACATATGCAAAACGCATTATTATTACACAATGTCGCGAACGCAGTAGTACCGTACCGGTTCATCATGATCAATCCAAACGTAGAAGAGCAAAGCGCCTATAAACTGACCACCACCTCAAACCAACAAAAAAAGCCAGACTCTCACTTCCCCATTAAACGGTTTGGTAATAACTCGGTGCCCCCGTCGTCAAATCCACCTCACTCAAGGTCAATGGCAACTGCAAGTGCGAAACACTGGCCAATATGCCGGGCAAACTCTGACGGCCCCTCTTCCGCTTGAGGTCGTCCATGATACCATGGGCGATAAGATCGAGCCCAGGACCCTCGGCGCCGGCCGGGAGGATGATATCCGAGATATGCTTTGTGGGGAGAATAGCCTGCTCAAAAGCGGGCTTACTCTTGCGAACGTACTCGTCAAGAATACGATCGAGGGATCGCGTTCCCGACTCACGTATCACTAAACCCCCCCACTCAACCCAAAATCAGCCAAACAATCATAACATCATACAAAAGGTAAGAGTTAGAGGAGGAAGAACCCTTCCGCGCAAGCCTAACGTCCGAATCGCAATCCACGAATATCTAATAATATTCCAACAATCAGCCACCACCCCCCCCCCTCAACGATGGTAAAATCGGGAACAAACAAAACAAAACAAACCTTCACACCAGCAACCTCCACCAACCGCGAACAGCAGAGCATGTACCGCCCCTCCGCAATGACCACGTCCACTTCCGCCTCCTCCACATCCCCGCGAACGATGCCTTCCAATTCCCCCGCCAACCGCTCAAGATCGTACCTCTTCGCCCCTTCCGCCGCCGTCCCCGTGCACGGCAGCAGTGGCGGGAGTGCGTAGTCGGCCATGTGCAGCGTCGATATCTTCAGTTCGCCGTTCAGGGATAGCAGGCGGGACTTTAGTCCCGCCTGGACGGCCTTTTTTCCAGCGGCTTCACCGCCGGTTATTGAGATTAGGATTGGACTTGTTGTTTGGGGCATTTGGATTGGAGGTTGTTGGGGGGCTTTGTACGGTGGTTATGATATCAGGAACAGTTGGAAAAGGTTAGTTAGTTGGGGGGGAGTTGACTGGCTCGGGTAGGGACGGTGTTTTGGTACTTTTGTTTTTGTTTTCCGCGCTGTGCCGTGCATATATAGCATATGTGGGGGATGCCATAGTTCGGCTTGGAAGCGGTGGAGTCGAGTTGGCTGAATGAATACCGGTATGATAGGTAGATTATCGGTGTTGGTCAAGCGTGTTTGCACTTATCATAACTGTGCTCTCTAGGTTATCGGTATGTGCTCTAAGGGTTCCATGCGTTGGTGAAAGTGGGGGCGATGGGGTTTGTGGGGGTTGCCATATGATTAGTATCATGGGTTTTTAACTCCTTACCGTACGGTACTTGGGACAAGGCCCCAACACTCTCCCCCATCGGTTATGATAACGTACCCCCTAACATGACATTCTGCATCTCCACGAGTTATACCTGCCCGGGTAACCTAACTGCCGGTAGTTGACGATTCCAGTCCGGTGAAGTGGTATGTAGATACGAATGTAGGATGCAGTAAGTAGATACATATGGAGCTCCTTGAGCGCGGTACGAGTAGACTATCAACCTAGGAAGCCTACTCGTACGGTAGGTTGGATACTATTGCCGGCGGGGCTATCGGTAAGTAGGGTGAGTAATGAATACCCCGTTACACTTAATGGTCCGGGCTCATGCAATTCAGTCACTCGGAACTCCGAACTTCAAAGCGTTCGTAATTGGCTATGCATTCTACTTGTCATTTAGGTGGGTATCAAGATAAATGGCTTTAGCTAGCTAGCTTATCCTCCGTGGTTCGACAAAGTCGACACAGAAAATTAACTATGGGGTGGCGGTTAGGAAAATAGGAAATGGTAAAAAGGTATTGCAGGCTTGGTTGTTTTAAAGTGGTATCATATCTCTCGATAAGAAAGTAGGCAGCAGTAGAAATGGGGAAAAGAATTTAGACAAAAAGAATTTAGACAAAAAAAAGAGTACAAGAAGCTAGCAGCAAATTTTTTAGTAGGTCAAGAAAAGCATTAGGAAAACACTATGCGAAATTCAACGAACGATTAAATCACGCCTTCAAAACTATGAATCGTGTATAGTGAAATAGGACGCTTGCCACAAAAAAAGGGGGGGGAAGAAAAAGAAAAAAGGAGACATGAAGGAAACGTAACGAGATTTAAGTGAGTGTGGACTGGGGTGTGGGATGAGCAGTCAGCCGAGTGAACGGTTATTATCGCTCAGCTTATGCATTCCGGAGTGGGAAAAAGGGAAAAAAGCATCGCTGATATATTCCAGCGTATCCGTGAGTGCTTGTAATTGGGGTGTGTGTATTAGAGCAACTTTGGCCACAAAGGATCGGATTATTATAGCAACGGCAAACATAGGCCAGAAAACCGTGCGATCTAGAAGTTAAACTCGAGTGGTAGTGTCAATGCTGCCGGTGAGCTCAGCAACACGTGCCTTGATTCTAGCAACCCTAGATTCGATTGCTGCAAATATTTAGTTGTAACACTTCAATATATTATGGCAATGAAAACTTACTCTCTTCACCACTTGTCTCTCCATCATCAATGCTGCCCCTTGCGTCGCTCCTTGTATATTCGTCAGATGCTTTTGGCACAACCTTTGCTCTCTCAGCAGCATTTTTCTTGATTTGAGCCCATCGATCCTGCACAGGAATAGCCTCCACAGGAGATGCGAGAGGGGCTGTTCCGTCCATCGACACAACATCATCAGTTTCCTTCTCCGGTGCGGCAGGGCCGGACTCGATTGGGGAGCCTGACTCGGAGGTCATCACAGAGTCATCAGGGACGAAAGCTGGCTGGTCGGTTAAAGGACCTTGATCAAACGAGGAGAACACTTGGGTTGCCGCGCGTTCTTCTTTTGAGCTGACCTGGGATGTTGATGGCTGATCACTGTCCTGGCGACGTAAATCAGCTTGCAGGGATAGCGACGGCTTCTCAATGACTAGTGGGGGAGGAGCATTCAACTGCGCAGCACCACCGCTGAAATCTATGGGAGCATTCTTCTTCCGGCCAACGGATAGTCTGCGGCTAGTATCTTGGGTAGGAACGCCCAAGCCCCCACTATTAGGTGGTTCAAGCTGGGATATTCTTCGACCCACTAGGCTAGTTGGGTCTGCCTTTTTGCTACTAAAGAGATTCTTGAAGCGTGAAGCCTTTGGCTTCTTGGACTTCTCTGGCGTCGGGTTGGCTGAAGGTTGTGATTTGGGACTGCTAGGGGTGGTTTGAGAACGACTGTCAAATGCAGGTGATGCGCGCCCATTCGAGCGGGGAGATGGCAATGTCATGGGCACGGACCTGGGGGCGGATGGAGTCCTAGGTGATGCCAATGCAACAGGAGCCTGTTTTGTGACTGGAGTTGGAGGTTGAGTCAATTGCTCTGGTTTTGGCCCAACAAGCTCTGGCTTGGGCCGCTCTTGTCTTTCCTGTCTTTCGGGTCTTTCCTCTGGTTCCTCATGTGGAGGGGGAGGGGGTAATGGTCTGTCGGTATCAACACGGCTCAGGTCCTTCCTTTCTGGCATTGGGAGCCCCTTCAGATAAGCTTCCCGGATAGCATCTTTATCATACTTGCTTGCCCATTTCATCGCGGGGGTAGCCTCTGAGAGGATCACCGGCTGCAAAGTGAAAACACTATTGGTCCTTGGATTAGGCATAGAGCCAACTTCTCTGGGTCTCAGATGACTGGGCTCTTGTTGAATTTGCTGTTGTCTCAACGCAGCCGCAGCTGTTTGAACCCTAGCCATCTGATCAGGCCTAATATTTATTCTACTGAACGGGCCTATAGAAGGATCAAATTGCTTTGGTTGCTCGATTGGAATATCGGCACGTCCAGCAGATTTCCGCCTGGTCAGCTTTCCTCTTCGAGACTTCTTCTTTTCCCTGGCCAAAAGATACGTTGCGTCCTCGAGCGCAGTGGCGGCACCTTTAACCTTTTCCTACATCAAATGTTAGACTATCCTTGCCAGGACCAGCGCAACTAAGGAGTGACAAACCTCAACGACAAGCCACCTTCCACCTTTAATCACTGTCTCGACAAGAGCACATCGCCCAAACACAGCCTTTCTAGCGGTGGATTCTTCACCGGCAAGACTAGATATCCAGACCCACCAGAATGCATCATCCACGGTTAATGGTGAAACGCTGGCCAATTCACCGGGGTCCAAATTATCCTCGGCGATTTTTCTGTTCGACTGAGAACTACGAACTCGAGATCCACTGTCAATCGGAGGCAAGATCTTGTCCGGCGGCAGGAGGAGTGGGGCAGGTTGGTTTGGACCTTGGTCACGATCTCCAAACCCTGCGGCCATAAAGTCAGCCCAGGAGGGTGTTGTTGGCCGAGCAATATCCATGGCAAGCTCCTGATGAGGGGTCGAGGGAATGGGCTGAGTTGAAGCTCGCCTTCGGGGAAATGTTTCGGAACCAGTCATTGACAACCCATCTTCATCAGCCGAACCCTCAGACTCCTCCAAAAGTCCGGAAAATCCCAAATCCTGGAACCTTGACCAAGACTGATCCTGAAGTCCGCTCCCGCTCTTAAATCCAGAGGAAGACTGGTTGGTAGATGATATACATTTTAGAACACGCTTACATTCTTCTGTCAAAGCCTGTATAGGGTCATCATAGCCCACAAGAGCCCGGAGAGCAAGATTACTCTCCCGGAATTGAAAGTTTCTTGCACGACGAAGAAGTGAAAATGGGGTTGGTGAAACAGTTTCAACGGTCATTACCACCCTAACGGTCTGCGACTGGAGCTGAACAGGGGTCGTAGGAGGATAGTCGACGGAGGCCACCAACGCCTTCAGGGAGATTGGCAAGACAGAAACACCCCTTGTTCCATCTGCCGGAGAGAGGGAGCGAAGATAGGCAAAGAAAAGATGCATCGTAGCATCGGCAGCCCTGGCCATAATGTCAATACTCTAGCGGCAGCTACAGATGGATCGAACAAACCTCGACCACGATGTGTATCCACCTTCGAAGCCCCATCCCATATCGCTATGCTCAAAGGCCCACCAACCCGCAAGCCTCGAGAGCTTCATACCGCCCAGTCCATTATGCTTTCCGTGTGCTGCGATGGCCGAGATTAAATCAAAAAAGTCAAAGATAATCTTGGAACGAGCTTCGGATTCAGCACTAATTGGTATGAAGGTCGCGAACGAGTCACGGGCCATGCCAGAACCTAGAAGTGGTTAGAATCATTTTAGATCCTAAGATAGGGCGACTGTGGAGCAGTCGTACCAATTTCTCCCTGACGAAATAGCTCATACAAATCCCAGGTTACCACGCCACCGGGTAACCTACTCCAACACCACTTCAGAGTGCTGCATAAAACCTAGATACCGGATGTCAGATAATGAAGCAAATATCAAAAGGGCGAGCCATCATTACCACAGGTTCAGTCAATCGTAACTCTTGCTGGAGGTGGGGCCCGCGAAGCGGCCCTGTTACCGGATCGAAGAAATTTCGGATAAAGGTTCTGGCGGCGCTGGCATCCGAGTTTGGTCGAAAAGGCAATAGCAGAAAAGGTGTTGACAGGCCTAAAACGAATTACCCATAAACAAAATGTGAGCAAAATTATCGATGCAATTGAAGTAGGAGTAATATTCGACTAAGGGATAAGAACTGAGTGGTGGCTGGTAGACCTCTTGACTTGATCTCCTGAGTGCATCCCCTCAACAGCTCCTGAACTTGCTCAGGAGTGACTTCTGTCCGTAACCACGCGTCCTGGTGTTTAACCTCTTGGGGCGGTGGAGGCGCGCTGGGTTCGATCTTCTTTGAAGATCCGGCGTGGTCCCGTTTAAAGACCTTATTCAGAAAGGTGGGCATTGGGATGTGTTGAGAAGGCACAGCTGGCTTTTTTTTTTTTCCTTCCCCTGACGCGACAAAAAAAAAGCTGCAGTCGGGTCTTAAGTGCGCTTATCTACGACGTGCGCAAGCGAGCGAGCGTGATGTAGGGGGTCTTGCAGGGCCCGGGGATGTTGATGGAAAAAGTACCAAAAAGGAGATGAGATGAGATGGGGTGAGTTCACTACTCAATAGCAGAAAAGGGCCAGACAAGAAAATCCAGAGCAAGAACAGAACGAAAGGAAAGGAAAGATCGAGGAATTTTGTGGACAGCCTGCTGTATCAGTATTCCTATTGCTGGCTTATCTTACTATAATACCACGTTCAAAGAGGGACAAGGGCTCGCAGGGGGTAGCGACGATGGGAGTCGTTGGAGAGTGGAAGAGGAGCAATCTGCCAACAAAGCAATGCACCAAAGAACCGACAACCACTAGTTGTGGGAGTAGCGAGACAGGTAGAGAACGACAGGCTCGACAGCATGAGGGAAGGGAAGAAAAAGTGCCAATAGCGATAGCAGAAAGAGAGGGGGAAGAGCCTTGGTTTCCCTGCTGTAAGCTACTAACCGTAAAGAAATAATCATCATAGGAATAGGAAAATTTTGCTGGAAAAAAAAAAAGTGAAAAATGGGGGAATGATCCGCAAATTGGATTTACGGGCGGTCCACGAGAACTCTTCTTCCGCTTTCTCTGGCTCCACGATCCCTATTGTTCACTCATCCGTCCACTCGAGCGGATTGGTAAAACAGAGCCGGCGTTCCTAACCCATGCCAAAACTGCGTCTCAACCAACCAAATCTTCTAAACAGAAACCGCCCTGATTGGTCTCACCAAATCTTGGCATAGAGACGGGTCAAGGTTACGGTACTCGTACTCGTACTGCAAGGTGGCTAGACTATCGCCCTGTTCTGTTCACGCCATTCTCTTGTCCTTTATCGTTTTGTTATTGTTTCTCTCTCTCTCTCTCTCTCTCTCTCTCTCCACTGGTGCCGGGACCGGTGCAGTATTATGTCTCTGCTCAATCGCGTGTGGTATGTGGTGCCGTTATTGATTTTTTTTGCATCCAACGCGCCCACTCGAAGGCTGAGAAGCGAATTTATTCGATCTCTCCTACCGGTATTACAGTAAATTTACATGCGGCTGTTGTTGGCCAACAAGCATCACCGAGCTTACCTTGGGAGTACCGCATGGT